CATCCGGCGAATGGGTAATTTCATGTTTTCTCCACAGCGTAGTATTTCCACGCTACATTTTATTCACGATTAATTTTTTGTTTTTGAAAATACAACTAAAAACACCCAACACAGGTGTTAGAATTTTATTCAAGTGATGGTATGTAACAAACTATTCATTATTTTAAAGTTTTCACGTTACCTTAATTCAATTTCGGAAAAAATGAAATGGTATGTATGCCAGAGATTTTGGAAAGTGTAAACAATGTTTGGAGTTTTTTGTTACTTTATTAAACAGAATCCAGTTATTCTTATATAAGAGAATTTTTTAAACTTCGAAAATTTGTTGCTTTTTTTGGAATTTTTGTACTTCTCAAGGTTAAGAAAATTTTGGAGCAGTACCAGAAGATCTTTTTTTAATTTTTGCAGATTTCGAACGTCACTTGTAACTTTAAAATTTTTGGAAAAATTAAAAATTTGGTTTGAGACTCAAAATTTTTGAGACATTTTTTTAAATTTGGAAATCTTATATTTTGCCTTTGTATATATTTCTCTACGAAAATTTACCATTTTATCATGTTTTTTGTTGTGGAAAGAAGATTACGAATATTAAGAAAGAAACAAAAGTCAAAAGATTAGCCCCGTCCACCCACCCCACCCCGATTGTGATAATTTTTTCATTCATCGTGAGCCAGAGCTTAATTGCAAAGTCCGTATTTCCTACAAAATTTTCCCATTATTGTTATGAAAAGAAAATTACGAATAAAAAAATCATCACAGTTGAGATTGGGCGGGTGGGCGGGGATTGCCTTTTGCCTTGTTTTTCTTACTGTACTGTCTTACTTTCTTTACGTAACCGAAGACCTAAAACTTGATCAAAGTAGTAATTTTTTGTAAGCAAATATGGGTTTTGCAATTACGTTCCGCTCCATGGACTGATAACGAATGAAAAATTCATCGGAATTGAGAGGAGGGCGAGTGGGCGGGGCTTATATTTTGGCTTTTTTTTAAATATATTTCTGTACAAAAAGTTACCATTTTTACCATGTTTCAAGTTTCTTGTTGTGGAAAGAGGATTACGAATATTAAGAAACAACAAAAGTCAAAAGATATAAGACCCGCCTACCCACCCCACCTCGATTGTGATGTTTTTTTTTATTCCTCAGAACAGCATAATCCTCAAATCCTCAGAGCATCAAAATCCTCAAATATTCAGTACACCAGAATCCTGAAATCCTCAGAACATTATAATCCTCATTTCCTCAGAACACCAGAATCCTCAAATCCTCAGAACAACATAATCCTCAAATCCTCAGAACACCAGAATCCTCAAATCCTCAGAACATCATAATCCTCAAATCCACAGAATACCGGAATCTTCGAATCGTCAGAACATCAAAATCCTCAAATCCCCAGAACATCATACTCCTCAAATCCTCAAAACACGATAACACTCAAATCCTCAGACCACCAGAATCCTCAAATCCTCAGAACAAACTAATACTCAAATCCACAGAACACCAGAATCCTCAAATCGTCAGAGCACCATAATCCTCAAATCCTCTGAACATCATAATCCTCAAATCCTCCGAAAACCAGAATCTTGAAATCATCAGAACATCATAATCCTCAAATCTTCAAAACAGAATAATGCACAATCCTCAGAACACCAGAATCCTCAAATCCTCAGAACACCAGAATCCTCAAATCATCAGAGCACCAGAATCTTCATATCCTCAGAACAGCAGAATCCTCAAATCCTCAGAACATCAAAATCCTCAGAACAACAGAATCCTCAATTCATCAGAACACCAGAATCTTCATATCCTCAGAACAGCAGAATCCTCAAATCCTCAGAACATCAAAATCGTCAGAACAACAGAATCCTCAAATCCTCAGAACAACATAATCCTTAAATCCTCAGAGCATAGAAATTCTCAAATCTGTAGAACACCAAAATCCTCAAATCCTCAGATCATCAACATCCTCAAATATTCAGTACACCAGAATCCTGAAATCCTCAGAACATCATAATCCTCAATTCCTCAGAACACCAGAATCCTCAAATCTTCAGAACAACATAGTCCTCAAATCCTCAGAACACCAGAATCCTCAAATCCTCAGAACATCATAATCCTCAAATCCACAGAATACCAGAATCCTCAAGTCCTCAGAAGATCAAAATCCTCAAATCCTCAGAACATCATACTCCTCAAATCCTCAAAACACAATAATACTCAAATCCTTAGAACACCAGAATCCTCAGATCCTCAGAACACAATAATACTCAAATCCTCAGAACACCAGAATCTTGAAATCATCAGAACATCATAATCCTCAAATCTTCAAAATAGAATAATGCACAAATCCTCAGAACACCAGAATCCTCAAATTCTCAGAACACCAAAATCCTCAAATCATCAGAACACCAGAATCTTAATATCCTCAGAACAGCAGAATCCTCAAATCCTTAGAACATCAAAATCGTCAGAACAACAGAAACCTCAAATCCTTAGAACAACATAATCTTTAAATCCTCAGAGCATAGAAATTCTCAAATCCGTAGAACACCAAAATCCTCAAATCATCAAAGCATCAACATCCTCAAATATTCAGTACACCAGAATCCTGAAATCTTCAGAAATTCATAATCCTGAATTCCTCAGAACACCAGAATCCTCAAATCCTCAGAACAACATAATCCTCAAATCCTCAGAACACCAGAATCCTCAAATCCTCAGAAGATCAAAATCCTCAAATCCTCAGAACATCATACTCCTCAAATCCTCAAAACACAATAATATTCAAATCCTCAGAACACCAGAATCTTGAAATCATCAGAACATCATAATCCTCAAATCTTCAAAACAGAATAATGCACAAATCCTCAGAACACCAGAATCCTCAAATCCTCAGAACACCAGAATCCTCAAATCATCAGAACACCAGAATCTTCATATCCTCAGAACAGCAGAATCCTCAAATCCTCAGAACATGAAAATCCTCAGAACAACAGAATCCTCAATTCATCAGAACACCAAAATCTTCATGTCCTCAGAACAGCAGAATCCTCAAATCCTCAGAACATCAAAATCGTCAGAACAACAGAATCCTCAAATCCTCAGAACAACATAATCCTTAAATCCTCAGAGCATAGAAATTCTCAAATCCGTAGAACACCAAAATCCTCAAATCCTCAGATCATCAACATCCTCAAATATTCAGTACACCAGAATCCTGAAATCCTCAGAACATCATAATCCTCAATTCCTCAGAACACCAGAATCCTCAAATCTTCAGAACAACATAATCCTCAAATCCTCAGAACACCAGAATCCTCAAATCCTCAGAACATCATAATCCTCAAATCCACAGAATACCAGAATCCTCAAATCCTCAGAAGATCAAAATCCTCAAATCCTCAGAACATCATACTCCTCAAATCCTCAAAACACAATAATACTCAAATCCTTAGAACACCAGAATCCTCAGATCCTCAGAACACAATAATACTCAAATCCTCAGAACACCAGAATCTTGAAATCATCAGAACATCATAATCCTCAAATCTTCAAAACAGAATAATGCACAAATCCTCAGAACACCAGAATCCTCAAATCCTCAGAACACCAGAATCCTCAAATCATCAGAACACCAGAATCTTCATATTCTCAGAACAGCAGAATCCTCAAATCCTCAGAACATGAAAATCCTCAGAACAACAGAATCCTCAAATCCTCAAAACAACATAATCCTTAAATCTTCAAAGCATAGAAATTGTCAAATCCTCAGAGCATCAAAATCCTCAATTCGTCAGAACACTAGAATCCTCAAATCCTCAGAACATCAAAATCCTCAGAATACCGGAATCCTCAAATCCTCAAACCCACCGGAGTCCTATTACCTTATTATAAAAAAAACACTAGAGTCTCCAAAGCACTTTCAAATTCTTTCCAATACTTAAATAGAACCTCAAAATTGTTTTAAATATTTAAAAAAAAAACTGGGTTCCAAAATTAACTCAAAAACAGCTCAGATCACTATGGGTACCCAAGAGCTTCCCGAATTAAATAAAAAACACTGCGGCACTCAAGACTTTTCAAATTCGTAAAAACTAAAACACTAAAAGCTCAATAGTAATTTACGCAACTAGTTCGGGATAGCCTGCTTCCCGCATGAACGCTTGTTTGAGGCACGACCGAAGGGAGTGCCGCATTTGCGTGAATGCGGGAAGCAGGCTCACGAACGTGTTGTGTACAATATTTTTTGCGACGAATAAACCTTTAAACTGAAGAGATTAACTGTGAGTTATTTATAAACAACGCCATTGACAGCGCCGTCAACACGTCACAATGTTGACACTACCCGAGTATTTTAAGGTTACCATGGCAACGGGAAGTTAAATGCACGTGTGCGGGAAGTTCGACCTCCCGCACTCTGGTGAATGCGCGAAAGCTATCAAAAAAGGTCATGAGTGCAAAAAAGGTTTTTTCAAGCTCATTCACCAACAAAACACAATATTCCTTTAAATTTATCTTATTTTAGCCGGTATTAGGCCCGCCCACCCACCCTTTCTTTTCTTAGAGTATATGTCATTTGCCAAAATCAGTTTTATGTTAGCAGCTGCTAGCCCCACCCACCCACCCTCTCTTTTCTTCGAGAGTATCTCATTTGCCAAAATCAGTCAAATCTTGTCAACTTAATTGCAAAATCCGTATTTCCCTACAAAAATTTATCATTTTGAAGTTGCTTTTAGTTTCTTGTTATGGAAATAAAATTACGCATACTTAAAAAAACGGCAAAATAGCAAAATATAACCCCGCTCATGAAAAAAAAAATCATCACATTTGAGATAGGGCGGGTGGGTGGGGCTTGTATTTGGTCTTGTTTTTCTTGCTGTAAAATGAAAAAGAAGTGTCGCGTTTCTGTCTGTCGTCTGTGTCGATATTTTTTAAACAGATAAGCCTGCGATCTCATCACAGTTAATATTTTATACCATATATGTACCATACAAAAGTAAATATCCTTGTGTATATTTTATTGAAATAATAAAAAAAAACTACATAAAAAAATATGAAACGTCTAGTAAGTTGGCATTATTACTCTTCCAGCGAACAAAACGAAACCTTTAACTTTTATATAATAAATAAAAGGGTGATTGGCATGGAAGTCCTTGGTGGGCGCATCCAATCCAAAATATTCCACTAAACCTAAAAACAAAACATACTTATTATTACAAAAAAACTAAAAAAAATTTAATTTACGAATATAAGTCGAAGCTGCTGCCTCGACTCCCTGCTCATTGACATCTATGAACGTCTTCTGGAGAGCATCGCTAATCACCAACTTGTTATCACTAATACCACTGAAATCCGCTTCTCCTTCGATGAAAGCTTTCTTTACACCCAACTAAAACCAAACTCTCTCAAAAACATCGTCAATCTATCACCCCATACCCACATTTTGCAAAACTTGTTTAAAATCCACCGTACTTTCAATTTTGAACTTAGGAACCGAGACGTTAACGTAAACTTTTTCAAAATTCTGCGGCTCAAACACTTTGTTTATCTGGCTTTCTAGTTTCTCCAAACCGTCAATTTCGTTCGGAAGAACAAACGTCATCGTGGCTTCTTCGTTCTCAAACGGCATTTCCAAAAACTTGGCATTTAGCTCAGCGTTTTCGAAATATTTATATTCGGTTAAAACTTCGTACATTGTGTCAACCTCAACGAATTTTCCTGCTTTCAAGTGGAACTTGTTTTTTCTAGTAGATGGAAGGAAAAATGGAGTCAGCCATCTTGCTTTAAAGTACAAGGCGTTAATGAGAACTGCAGCAGTCGCTTCACTTAGTGCATCTGAAGTTATTAAATCACGTATTTTGTTGTCAGTTTGTTCTTCGATCCATTTGTTTATAGTTTGAGCGGCTGCAGTACCGTTTTTAAAATTAATGTTTTCTAAATAAGAACTGAAGTAGTTGGTGGCGATTGTTTTGAATTCTTCTTTGATGGGAAAATTGTCTCGGATGTATACTTTGTTAGCAGTAGCTACTATATAATTTTCATTGTGTACTATAAAATCAGATAGAAGCTTTTTAAATTCTTCTTTAATCTTGGATTCTTCTGGTAGTTGTAAAGACTTTCTTAGTTCTGCCGCAGTTTCGTTTTTGGCGCCAGTTTCAACTAACGCAAAGATAACTTCTGCTGAGAAGGGACTGACGAGGAAGTTCTCTTCAGAGGATTTTAGCATTTCCTAAAATAATAAAAAATGCCGTGAAACTACCGATTTCTGAAAAAAAAAATCTTACTTGGTACAATTTTGCGCTGAATAAACTGTTGCTACGCAGAAGGACGTTTTCGGCATCTTCAGCAAAAACTGAGACCAACGTAACCAGCAAAATATAACAGTACTTCATTGTTGACGCATACACACAGACTAGTGAACTCGAAGACACTGTGACGACGGGTCGCCAACTGCACTGAAGACGCCTTCGGAACGAGTTTTGTATCTTAATATTCACACAATCAAAAAACACCTAACCGCTAATCGGTTATGGTGTCGTTGCGGGGAAATTTTACTGTTGGAGAGACAAAAATAATACATATATACCACGTAAAAACAGTCAGAGGTTTTCCAGTACTTCTTGCGTCTGTTGGGTTTTTAAGGATTTTAATAAAACGCAAAAGTTTGTATTTCTACTAACTGCGAAACAAAAGTAGTATTACCTAAGGTAATAATAATAAATTCTAATTAAGGAGAAAAAACAATGATTATTGATTGGACTGTTTTAACAACAACTTGGATAAATACCGGGTGATTGTTTCGAATTGGTTTACAGAACAAATTCAGCTGAAAAGTAAATATGTCGTACTTGGTATAATTTGTGGCTTGTAAGAGTTATAAAATTTTAATGAGTTATTTATTTTAATGAATAATAAAATATTAGAACAGACTAAAGAGGAAGGATTTTGTGGTAAGAGCTGACGTAAATGAGATGGTGAAAGAGCTCAATCTAAGCATAAATGAAACAATAGAAACATACAGCTATTACAGAAGAGACAAAAGAAATAACAGGTTTGATAGGGAATGTAAAGAATTGAAGAAAAATACAAGAAAAACGTTAAGCGATGGGACAAAAAAGGAAAGGCATTAAAGACGATTGTCTAAAAATAAGAAATACGTATCGAAAGAAACGCGATAAAAGAAAAAAGCAGAAGCAAAAGAAGGAAGAATACAGAATAGAAGCCATTAGAACAGAGCAAGAAATTTGAAACTACATTAATAAAGAAGGAACGAAAACAGGGGCGGATGTAACCTGCAAAACAAAACTGGATTCGGGCACCGGTGCTCTGGTACTAGCGCCTCTGGAAAATTCCCAAATTCCAAATGATTCCTCCGCCCCTTCCCGTGATGTCTTGCCTTTGAAGTAATGTAAAAGAAGATTTCTGCTCCCTGGTTCTTGAAATAGTTTAAAAGAATCTCGTGCACTTTTCTGTTTCGTTCCTGAAGTAATTTGAAAGAATTTCTGCAATCCTTTTGCTTGTTTTTGAACTAGCTTGAAAAAATCTCTGATAACCCTTTTGTTTTGTTTTTAAAGTAGTTTGAAAGAATCTCGGGGATACCTGTTGTCTGGTTTTTGAAGTAATTTGAAAAAATCTATCTTCTTTGTTTTGTTTTTGAAGGAGTTTGAAAGGCTGTAGGAGTTCTCTTGTGTCTGGTTTTTGAAGTAGCGTGAAAAAATCTCGGATATCCCTTTTGTTTTGATTTCGAAGTAATTTGAAACAATCTTGATGACCACTTGTGTTTTGCTTTTAAAGCTGTTTGAGAGAATCCCGCAGACCTGTGATATCTGGTTTCTGACGTAGTTTTAGAGAATCACGGATACCTCTTTTGTTTTGATTTTGAAGTAGTTTAAAAGATTCTCGGGGGCCCCAGGTGTCAGGATTTTTAACTAATTTGAAAGAATCTCTGCAACCTTTGTGTTTTCTTTTTGAAGTAGTTTGAAAGAATCTTGGGGTTTCCTGGTGCCTGTTTTTTAAAATACTTTGAAAGAATCTCGTGTATCTCTTTTGTTTTGTTTTGAAGTAGTTTGAAAGAATCTCGGGGACCCCTGATGTCTGGTTTTTGAAGTAATTTGAAAGAATCTCGGGAACCTTTGTGTTTTCTTTTTAATTTAAAAGAATCTTGGGGTTTCTTGGTGTCTGTTTTTAAAATAGTTTGAAAGAATCTCAAGGAACCCTGGAGTCTGACTTTTGAGGTAGCTTGAAAAAATCTTGGATACATCATCTTTTTGTTTTACAGTAGTTTGAAAGAATTTTGGGGACCCTTGGCACCTGATTATTGAAGTAGTTTGAAAAAATCTCTGATAACACTTTTGTTTTGTTTTTAAAGTATTTCAAAAGAATCTCGGGGACCCCTTTTGTCGGGTTTTTGAAGCAGTTTGAGAGACTCTCGGATACCTTTTATGTTTTATTTTTAAAGTAGTTTGAAAAAATCTCAGAGACCCCTGGTGTCTAGCTTTTGAAGTAGATTGAAAAAATCTCGGATACATTTTTTTTTTTTTTACAATAGTTGGAAAGAATCTTAGGGTTTCTTGGTGCCTGTTTTCAAAAATACTTTGAAAGAATCTGTTACATCTATTTTGTTTTCTTTTTGAAGCAGTTTGAAAGAATCTCAGGGAATCCTGGAGTCTGACTTTTGAGGTAGCTTGAAAAAATCTCGGATACATCATCTTTTTGTTTTACAGTAGTTTGAAAGAATTTTGGGGACCCTTGGCATCTGATTATTGAAGTAGTTTGAAAAAATCTCTGATAACACTTTTGTTTTGTTTTTAAAGTATTTTAAAAGAATCTCGGGGACCCCTGTTGTCGGGTTTTTGAAGTAGTTTGCGAGACTCTCGGATACCTTTTTTGTTTTCTTTTTGAAGTAGTTTGGAATAATCGCTGATAACCCTTTTGTTTTGTTTTTAAAGCAGTTTATAAGAATCTCGGGAGCCCTTGTTGCCTCCTTTTTGAAGTAGTTTGAGTTTATCTCGGATACCTCTTTTGTTTTGTTTTTGAAGTAGTTTGAAAGAATCTCGGGAACCTTTATGTTGTCTTTGTGAAGTAGTTCAAAAGAATCTTGGGGTTCTCTGATGCCTGATTTTTAAAATAGTTTGAAAGTATCTGGTACACTTTTTTTGTTTTGCTTTTGGAGTATTTTGGAATAATCTGGGAGACCATTTATGTTTTCTTTTTAAAGTAGTTTGAAAAATCTCCGATATCTTCTTTGTTTTGTTTTTGAAGTAGCTTAAAAGAATCTCGGGTACCCCTGGTGTTTGGTTTTCGAAGTAGCTTGAAAAAAATCTCAGATACTTCTTTTTTTTGCTTTTGTAGTAGTTTGAAACATTCTTGTGGACCTGTGGTATCTGGTTTTTGAAGTAGTTTGAAAGAATTTCGTGACCCCTGGTGTTTGGTTTTTGACGTAGCTTGAAAAAATCTCGGATACCACTTTTTTTTAGTTTTTGCAGTAGTTTGAAAGATTCTTGGGGACTTGCGGTATTGAAGTAGTTTGGAAGAATCTCAGATACATGTTTTGTGTTGTTTTTGAAGTAGTTTGAAAGGATTGCGAAAATTCCTTGTCCTGTTTATGAAATAGTTTGAAAGAATCTCTGATAACCCTTTTGTTTTGTTTTTAAAGTAGTTTATAAGAATCTCGGGGATCCCTGTTGTCCCGTTTTTGTAGTAAATAGTTTGAGAGAATCCCGGATACCTCTTTCGTTTTGTTTTTGAAGTAGTTTGAAAGAATCTCGGGAACCTTTAGGTCGTCTTTGTGAAGTAGTTCGAAAGAATCTTGGGGTTCTCTGATGCCTGTTTTTTAAAAATAATTACACTTGTTTTCTTTTGTTTTTGGAGTAGTTTGAAAGAATCTCGGGAACAATTGTTGTCTATTTTTTAAAGAAGTTTGAAAGAATCTCCGATATCTCTTTTGTTTTATTTTTGAAGTGGTTTAAAAGAATCTCGGGGACCTCTGATGTATGGTTTTTGTAGTAGATTGACAGAGTTTTGTAGACCTGTGGTATCGGGTTATTGAAGTAGTTTGAAGAAATCTCTGATAACCCTTTTGTTTTGTTTTTGAAGTAGCTAGAAATAATATTGCGGTTTCCTAGTCCCTGTTTTTTAAATAGTTTAAAAGAATCACGTACACCTCTTTTGTTTTGTTTTTGAAGTAGTTTGAAAGAATTTCGTGGACCCCTGGTGTTTGGTTTTTAAAGTAGCTTGAAAAAACCTCGGATACCATTTTTTTTTGTTTTTGTAGTAGTTTGAAAGATTATTGGGAACCTGCAGTATCTGGTTATTGAAGTAGTTTATAAGAATCTCGGGGACACCTGTTGTTTTGTTTTTGAAGTAGTTTGAGAGAATCTCGTATACCTCTTTTCTTTTGTTTTTGAAGTAGTTTGAAAGAATCTCGGGAACCTTTAATTTATCTTTGTAAAGTAGTTCGAAAGAATCTTGGGGTTCTCTGATGCCTGTTTTTAAAATTAGTTACACTTCTTTTGTTTTGTTTTTGGAGAAATTTGGTAGATTCCCGGAGACCATTTGTGTTTTTTTTAAGTAGTTTGAAAGAATCTCGGGGACACTTGTCTGTTTTTTGAAGTAGTTTGAAAGAATCTCCGATATCTATTTTGTTTGGTTTTTGAAGTGGTTTAAAAGAATCTCGGGGACCCCAAGTGTATGGTTTTTGAAGTAGCTTGAAAAAATCTCAGATACTTATTTTTTTTGCTTTTGTAGTAGTTTGAAAGATTCTTGTGGACCTGCGGTATTTGGTTATTGAAGTAGTTTGAAAGAATCTCTGATAATCCTTTTGTTTTGTTTTTAAAGTAATTAGACAGAATCTTGAGGTTTCCTAGTGTCTGTTTTTTAAAACAGTTTAAAAGAATCTCATACACCTCTTTTGTTTTGTTTTTGAAGTAGTTTGAAAGAATTTCGGAAATACCTCGTCTTGTTTATGAAATAGTTTGAAATAATGTCTGATAACATTTTTGTTTTGTTTTTAAAGTAGTTTGGAAAGATCTCGGGGACCCATGTCTTCTGTTTTTTGAAATAGTTTGAAAGAATATTGGGGACCGCATGTGTCTGGTTTTTGAAGTAGCTTGAAAGAATCTCCGATACCTCTCTTAATTTGTTTTTGAAGTAGTTTGAAAGAATTTCGTGGACCCCTGGTGTTTGATTTTTAAAGTAGCTTGAAAAAATCTCGGATACCACTTTTTTGTTTTTGCAGTAGCTTGAAAGAATTTTGGAGTTTCCTAGTGCCTGTTTTTTAAAATAGTTTAAAAGAATCTCGTACATCTTTTTTGCTTTGTTTTTGAAGTAGTTTGAAAGAATTTCGAAAATTCCTTGTCTTGTTTATGAAATAGTTTGAAATAATATCTGATAATATTTTTGCTTTGTTTTTAAAGTAGTTTGGAAGAATCTCGGGAACCCATGTTTTCTATTTTTTGAAGTAGTTTGAGGGAATCTCGGATACCACTTTGGTTTTGTTTTTAAAGTAGTTTTGAAGAATCTTGGGGACCTCAAGTGTCTGGTTTTTGAAGTGGCTTGAAGGAATCTTCGATACCTCTCTTGTTTTGTTTTTGAAGTGGTTTGAAAGTATTTCGTGGACCCCTAGTGTTTGGTTTTTGAAGTAGCTTGAAAAAATCTCTGATACCATTTTTTTTTGCAGTAGTTTGAAAGATTCTTGGGGACCTGCGGTATCTGGTTATTGAAGTAGTTTGAGAGAATCTCGGATACATCTTTTGTTTTGTTTTTGAAGTAGTTTGAAAGAATTTCGGAAATCCCTTGTCTTGTTTTTGAAGCAATTTGAAAGAATCTTGGGGTTTCCTAGTGCCTCTTTTTTTAAAATAATTTAAAAGAATTCCGTACACGTTTTTTGTTTTGTTTTTGAAGTAGTTTGAAAGAATCTCGGATACTACTTTGTTTTTGTTTTTAAAGTAGTTTGAAAATTCTTGGGGTCCTCAAGTGTCTGGTTTTTGAAGTATTTTCTAAGAATCTCGGAGATCCTCTGTTTTGTTTTTGAAGTAACTTGAAAGAATCTCGGTATTTTGTTTTTTTTAACTATGTAATAAGAAAGATTTTGAGAGCTTTCTCTCGGAGTGCCGTGATCAGGGGGGGGGCATGGAACTTGCTAAACTAATTTTGAGATCCGCTCCTGAAGAAAAGACAGCAGACATCAAGATTGAAAAATAGAGAAAACATTTTATGGAAATGCTAGAAACAGTCAAAATTAAAGCTCAATATGTCCAACCAAGAGGAAAGAAGGAATCAGTAGGGAAAAAATAACAAGACAGATATAGCGTCTGAGGGACGGAGTAGCAATTGAAACATATGGATGAGCAATGTTTGTGGCCTTCAAGGCAGCGTTCGATACTGTAGATAGGGAGAGAATGTGAACAATTATTAGTACCTATGGAAGAAATCTCTGCGGAAATGGAACGAAAGATAAGAATAGATACAATCATGTAAGGGAGTAAGACACGGCTGTCCACTAACCCCAGCCTGTTTGCTTCTTTTATAAGAGATATTGAAGAAATGTTCAGAAAAGCAGAACCGGGGTTTGTGGTGAGACGAGAAAAAGTGTGGTGTCTGGGGTATGTTGACGACCTGATAGTCATAGCAAAGGACGAAAAAAGAATGAAAAAAAATGATGAGTGGCTTGGGAAGATATATGAAGACGAAAAAAATCGTAGCTAATATATATATTTCATAAAAAAACTTATTTGAATAAATTTATTAATACGTAGGCATTGTCACTCGTCCAGCAAAAAGTATCACACCTCTAACTTTTATAAAATAAATAAACGGATGATCTGCGTGGAAACTTTTAGTAGGTTCAGCCCTTCCGCTATATGTCAGAAAACCTGAAAGTAATTTTGATTTATAATTAATCGTAAAACCAAAAATATTTATAATTATACGAATCTCAGTTGAAGCCGCAGCCTCCACCCCCTGCTCGCTAACATCTATGAACGTTTTTTGAAGAACGTCGCTAATCACCAGCGCTCGATCACTAATTCCACTAAAATCTGCCGCTCCATCTGTGAAAGCTTTCTTTACACCCAACTAAAATTAAACTGCCGTAAGAAATACGCAACGTATCAACCCATACCCACATTTTGCAATATTGTTTTAAAATCCACCGTACTTTCAATTTTGAACTTAGGAATTGAGACGTTAACAAAATAGTACTCAAAATTCTGTGGTTCAAAAACTTTGTTTATCTGATTCTCTAGTTTCTCCAAACCTTCTACTTCATTCGGCAAGACAAAAGTCATCGATACTTCCTTATCCCGAAAAGGTATCTCCAAGAACTTGGCATCCAGTTCAATATTGTCAAAATATTTGTACAGAGTTGCATCTTCGTTCATTATGTCCACTTCGACCGTTTTTCCTGCTTTGAGAAAAAAATTATTTTTGCTAGTGGCAGTGGCAAAAAACTGAGTCAACCATTTTGCTTGAAAATATATAGCGTTGACGAGAATTAAAGCAGTATTCGCACTCAGCATTTCTGGAGTGATTAAATCGCGTATTTTATTTTCAGTTTGTCGTTCGACCCATTCATTTATAATTTTAGACGCTTCAGTTTTCTTAGCGAAATCGATGTTTTCCGTAGCGGAGTTGAAGTAGTTGGTTGCAATTGCTCTGAATTCGTCTTTGATAGGAAAGTCCTTCTGAATGTATACCTTGTTCGCGGTAGATAAAGAATAAAATTGTTCGTGAGCTGCAAAATTAGAAAGCAGGTTTTTAAACCCTTCTTCAATTTTGTTGTGTTCGGGAAGTTGCAAGGAAATTCTGAGTTCTTCGGCGGTTTCATTTTTAGCGCCTAATTGGGCTAAAGCTAAGATAACTTGAGCAGAAAAAGGACTTACGAGAAAGTTCTCTTCCGTGAACCTTAGCATTTCCTGGAATTGTAAACGAAAAATGTTAGTGATTAACGATATTAAAGATTTATTATAAGTAGTTTAGTCGTACCTTGTATACGCTTGCACTAAATAAGCTGTTACTGTGCACAAATATATTTTCAATTTCTTGAGCCGAAATTGAAAATTGGGTAACCAATAAAATCCAGAAGCACCTCATGGTTGAAACGTCTACCCAAACTAGTCGAACTCAAGGCACTAATTATAATTAAATATGATAGGTTACTAGTTGCAGCGAAGAGACTTTCAAAAGTAAACAACTTTTAATAATAATTAAATATACATTAAGTATCGGTAATCGTTCGGGTACTCCAGTCAACATAATGAAAATTTAAATCACAATACCTTGTCTGTAAACTAAAGATTATTATTTATTTACGTAGAAATATTATTGACATTCTGGAAGTCTTATTTTGTAACGTAATCTCTGCAAGGTAAATTCAAATAAGACGAATGTATCTGCTGAGAAATTTACTTAGCAATCCTTTGCAACGTCATCAATGTTTTGGAAAGGGTAAACAAGTTTTTGGCGCGAAAATATGAATTTATGCGCATGCGCGTCTTCTGACTCCTGTTTTGCGCAGACTCGTGTTCCCTCGAAGTAGCCTACGGTGTCTGAAATTATTCCATCATGTATGCGCATGAATTCAAATTTGTTTACCAAAAAGTGAGCCAGAACCCGCACTACAGGTCCACTTTGATTAACGGTTTGCCATATTAACGATTTAGAACATGTAACAAATTTCATAACAATGTATTTTATGGTTTTGAAATGAACTGAAAAAGTTTGCTGTATAGAGTCAACGTGTAAAGGCAAAAGTAAATATGAGTTAATACAACCACAAGCATGAAAGCATATTATTTTGCACATGTCATTTAGAAAAATATCGTCGTCACATTTTTCTTATCGATAAACGGAGACACTTCGAGTAAATCGGTAAATTCGTACAGAGTAATCCTAACATTGGGCCACAACTTTAGAGTAAGAGATAGACAAACTAGGAGAGTGCACATGCAACAGATTTTTATATTTTTAAGGATATGAAACGTCTACAAAATATGAAATTAGCCATTTAAATATATCCTTATCTTATATATCACAAATATTATGTACCACGGCCAACAGAAAATAGAAAAAACTATGTACATTACACTGAGGGGGGATCATCTGGAAATCGAAAATTTTTCAGGAGTTATTAATTTTATATACTTATTAATGAAGTAAAATTTCGGCCTTTCAGGCCCCGCTCCCAATGTTTCCCGCTATGGTTCAACGGGTCCCATACGCCCCTGATAACGGGACTCCGAGATTCTTTAAAACTACTTCAAAAACCACACAAGGAATCATTAAGATTCTTTCGAACTAAGTACTTCAAAAACGAAACGCAAGTAATCCTCGAGATTCTTGCAAACTATTTCAAAAACAAAACAACAAGGGTTCCCGAGATCATTTAAACTACTTCAAAAACCAGACACAAGGCCTTTCCGAGATTCTTTCTACTTCGGAAACTATACACAAGGTGTCCCCGACATCCTTCCAAACTACTTTAAAAACCAAACACAAAAGATTTCCGAGTTTCTTCTTTCCAACTACTTCAAAAACAAAATACGTCGAGATTATTCTTTCAGATTATTTCAAAAACAAGAGAAGGGATCCTCAAGATTCTTTCGAACTACTTCAACAACAAAACAAAAGGAGTCCTCGAGATTCCTTCAAACTTACATCAAAAACAGGTACAAGATTATTTCAGATTACTTCAAAAACAAAACAAGGGATCCCAGAGAATCTTCCAAACTACTTTAAAAACAAAACAAGAGTCGTCTTCTACTTCGAAAACCAGGCGCAAAAGATGATCGAGATTCTTTCAAACTGCTTCAAAAACGAAACGCAAGTAGTCCTCCAGATTCTTTCAAATTACTTCCAAAACAAGACAATTGATCCCCGAGATTCTTCAAACTACCTTAAAAACCAGGCACAAGGGCTTTCCGAAATTCTTTCAAACTACTTCGGAAACCAGACACAAGGGGTCCCCGAGATTGTTCCAAACTACTTTAGAAACAAAACATAAAGCATCTCCGAGTTTTTTCTTTCGGACTACTTCAAAAACAAAATACAAAAGTCTTCAATATTCTTTCAGATTACTTCAAAAACCAGAGAAGGGATCATCAAGATTCTTTCGAATTACTTCAAAAACAAAACAAAGGGAATGCCCAATATTTCTTCAAGCAATTTAAAAAAAAAACAAAAATGATCCACGCGATATTTTCAAATTACTTAAAAAATAAAACAAAAAACTTACCCGAGATTCATTCAAACTACTTCAAACACAAAACAAAACAAACAGGATCATCAAGATTCTTGCAAACTACTTCAAAAACAAAACAAGGATCCCCGAGATCCTTCAAACTACTTCAAAAACCAAGCACAAGGCCTTTCCGAGATTCTTTCAAACTACTTCGGAAACCAGACACAAGGGGTCCCCGAGATTCTTCCAAGCTACTTTAAAAACCAAACATAAAGGTTTTCGGAGTTTCTTCTTTCCAACTACTTCAAAAACAAAATACAAATGATCGTCCAGATTATTCTTTCAGATTACTGCAAAAACAAGAGAAGGGATCATCAAGATTCTTTCGCACTACTTCAACAACAAAACAAATGGAGTTCCCGAAATTTCTACAAACCAATTAAAAAAAACACACAAAAGTAATCCGTGAGATTCTTTCACACTACTTAAAAGAAAAAGCAAATTCCTTCGAAGTATTTCAAAAACAAAACAAAACGAGTCCTCGAGATTCCTTCAAACTACTTCAAAAACCAGGTACAAGGGGCCCCGAGATTCTTTAAAACTACTTAAAAAAAATACAATAGTGATCTGTGAGTTTCTTTCACACTATTAAAAAAAAAACGCAAGTGGTCCTCGAAATGCATTCAGATTACTTCAAAAACAAGACCAGGGATCATCAAGATTCCTTCAAACTGCTTCAAAAACCAGGCACAAGAGATCCTCGAGATTATTTCAGATTACTTCAAAAACAAGACAAAGGATCCCAGAGAATCTTCCAAACTACTTTAAAAACAAAACAGAAGTGGTCTTCAAACTACTTCGAAAACCAGGCACAAAGGCTGCTCGAGATTCTTTCAAACTGCTTCAAAAACGGAACGCAAGTGGTCCTCCAGATTCTTTCAAATTACTTCAAAAACCAGACACAAGAGATCTCCGAGATTCTTTCTAACTACATAAAAAACAGAAGTGATCCCCGAGATACTTTCAAATTACTTCAAAAACAAGACGAGGGATCCCCGAGATCCCTCAAACTACCTTAAAAACCAGGCACAAGGGGTTTCCGAGATACTTTCAATTTACTTCAAAAACTAGATAAGAGATCCCCGAAATTCATTCAAACTACTTCAAACACAAAACAAACAGGATCCCCGAGATTCTTTCCAACTGCTTCAACAACAAAACAAGACGAGCCCTTGAGATTCCTTCAAACTACTTCAAAAACCAGGCACAAGAGTTCCCAAAGATTCTTTCAAACTACTTCAAAAATGGTAAATAAAAGTGATCCACGAAATACTTTCAAATTACTTCAAAAACAAGACAAGGGATCCCGAGATTCTTTCAAACTACTTCTAAAAAAAACACAAGGGATCCCCGAGATTCTTTCAAACTACTTTAAAAACAAAACGTAAATGGTCCTCGAGATTCTTTCAAATTACTTCAAAAACCAGGCACAAATGATCCCCAAGATTCTTTCAAACCACTTCAAAAAAAAACAAAAGTGATCCGCGAGATAATTTCAAATTACTTCAAAAACAAAACAAAAGTGGTCCCCGAGATTCTTTCAAACTACTTCAAAAACAAAACAAAACTTGTCCCCGAGATTCTTTCAAACTACTTCAATAACAAGACAAGGAATCCCCGAGATTCTTTCAAACTATTTCAAAAACAAAACAAAAGGTATACCTGATATTCATACAAACTACTTCAAAAAAGAAATACAAAAGTGTCCCCCAGATTCTTTGAAACTACTTCAAAAACAAGACATAAGTGGTCCTCGAGATTCTTTCAAATTACCTCAAAGTCAAAGCATTTTTCACTTACTTTTTTTGTACCTGTCACATAGATATGTAGTAATAAAAAATAGTGTACCTACATAAGTAACTCTGCTCAATAGAAAATAAATTTTAGCTGTAAAATGAATGGGTTTTATAATCCATCTCTTTCTGAGGATTTAATCGAAAGCTTTTTCTAAGTCAAGGAATCTTAAGAATATCTTATTTCCTTGACAATTTTTCTCTAGTATTATTTTCAGAGTAAATATGTGAATTTCTATACTCGTTCCTTTTATAAACCCGCTTTGTGATTATTGTTCTTGGATTTTCCACTATTACTCTTATTCTTTGATCCAAATTTTTTTTGTTTGTTTTAATTGTTACGCTTGTTGTGTTATTCGTCTATAGTTACTACATATTCATATTTATCTCCTTTTTTATTTACGTAATAGCATTACGAAGAATAGTCTTCAGTCCTTTGGGGTTTGTTCTTCTACCCACGTTTTATTTAGTATTTGTTTTAGTCCTTTTATAGCTTTTTCATATCTTACGTTTTTCTAGTGTTTATTTGCTCCTTTTAATTGCTTTTTTCAGGTTTTCGCCATGCTATCTTCTCAAAATCAACTGTTCCCTGCATTTCTTTTCTACTATCATCTTCTTCTAATTTCTTTCTCATTTACTACCAGGAAATCATCGCTACCAATTTCTGGCCCTGCTCTCACCTTCATCTCTACGATCTTATTTCTGCTACTAAAACGTATTGCTGATTATCGTATCTCGTAACACACAGTTTTGAGACGAACTAACAAGATAAATCAGAAACAAAAGAGGCCCCAAGACAGAACCTTGGCGTACTCCGGCAATAACTGTTTGGAAAAAGCAATAGCACAAGTAATAGAAAGCATAAATTGTTCCCTGCCACATAAACATGAAACTTCTCATGTGAAAGGCTTTTGCCAAACGTAACTTCTCTAAAATTAAAACTGTTTAGAATAGTGTTTTAATATATGTTTCTGTTTCCTTATAATGCATTCAAAAGCAAACTAAAATCAAAAATTGAAATAAATCGAGTAAGTTATTATTACAACCTTAGAGAAGAGACATTATGAGTTTAAGGATTCAACCTTTCTGATTGTTAAATATAAAAATTTGCTTTATTACTACTATTAATCTTCTAATTGGTGTAAATTATTTTTGGATGTCATAATTTTGCGTAGCCCATTTGTCCTTAAACACATTAAAATATTAACTTAAAAAAAATTTGTCGGATTATTAATACATTAGTGACAAGCTGAGGTAAATATCGGCGAGAACTGATTATTTTTTCGCTTAATTTTTACGAACTTCTAGACTGATGATTCATCTCGAAACAGCAGTAATTTTTAACAGTATCATTAATTTTAAAACAAATTACCTTAATTAAAAATGAATAGATTTAAACATAGCTGAATCTCTTCACAAACGTGTTAACAAAAATTCTCGAAATTTCTAATCCGCTAATTTGAACACGACCAGTGGCGTCGCCTCCTCTAACCCGACAATAACAAACAACCCCGAGAAAAAATATCAAAACAGGTGATAACAAGGCAATCCCAAAATAATCGATATTCGCTCCGATCTCCACCTGAACGCACAATAAATCCATCCATAAATCAGCTCCGAAGTCCAAAATTAAAATTATGACTGTGTTATGAGTGATCGCGTTAAATATTTTATCGCACACGTAAACTTGTGAATTATGATATACCCAAAAGACTCTTGGCGAGCTTTGTGCTTCGTCCACGCCGAAAGAATCGCGACGTTGTCACGTTGTCAGACGAACTAACCCACTCGAAAGCGCTCCAAAAATAAGCGCAGTTTTAAATCATTTATCACATAAACGAACTTCAGTGTAAATATTTACCTGTTATTAAATTTTTCGCAAACAAATAATAAAATACGTAATTTAGGCGATTAGGACGTCGTGGGGCCAGAAGAATGCGCCGAAAGCTGGCATAACGAATCCGATGTTGCTCATTTTCGAGCTTTGGAGATTATTCATGCTTTGTTTACCTTGAGGTGTGATTAATATCTAATTTATTACACGTTGCTTTTGCTTACGTTACTAAAGCAACTGTGAGGGAAAGTGTTGACTGTTTTGGCCCAGTCACAGGAACACGTCATGTGAAATAACTTTTGAATTTTTGGCGCGGATTTTAATATAGTTTTGACGGCTTACGCATAATGTTTGACGACGTGCTTAGACCGTTCTTTGTACAAGCTACTAAATCATGTTTATGGTCGGAATATGAGTATTGAATATTCCTTGGAGGTGAGCCAAGCCGTCCAGTAATTGTTAATGCAGTTTTTCATGTTGATTCGCTTGGAAATTGGCTCTTCCTGCCGTATAAATGGGTTTAGCTTCCGTGAATATAAACTGACACTGAAAATTTAGCCTGGATACGTTTTTAGAATAAGAAATTGAGAAAAGTTTTGCCTGCGACTATTATTATCAGACACATTAGAGCTTAGATGAAGTAATCCAAAAACTACGGTAAGCAATTTTTTCTACTTTCATGTGAAACATGAATAATTTCAGAATGTCCTTCATTTGTCAAGGCGACGCCACACCATGAAAATAATGTTATGAACAGATTTCTGCATATGTTTTTATTTTAGATTTTTTATAGCATGTGAACACCACCTAACTGCTCTGTCTCAGCATTTTGTTGCTAGCTTAAAAATAACACATTGTACCACAAGTCGGACGAAAAGTCCAATTTCATAAAACTCTTTTATTGCTCTAGCGTTGTAATAAATTTTTGGATGCTATTCAAACTTGACTTCGGTCTATATTTTATTTTTTTTGGCTTGTTACTTGTACTTGAATAGGGTCAGTTTGCTTCTATTTATATTTAATTGATAAAGATTCCAAATTATGTAAGTACTGAAGGCGTTAATATGGTCTTGAGAATCATAATTTAAAATAATTTTTATTTAATGCAACGATTATATAACGAAGGAAAGTTTTATCAAATGGTTTAATTATTTTTTCAATTCACTTGGTCTTCACTACATTAATTGCTTCAGAATCAGATGAAAATGAAAATCAGATTTTAAATTTTTAACAAAATTGACTGTCCTTCATGCTGAGGTTTAACTAAGTATAATTCTGTAATCGTAATATTTATGTTCTAGGTTAGATAGCTACCTGGATTTGAATTATTCGAGGACACTTTTCTTTTATATTGTCCTACTAGTTATTCCTCAGTCTATTTCTGATGTCTCCAAAAGGATACGAGTTTGTTCAGAAAGCAGCTAAACCTAGACAAATTTACAAAACTCTTCACACTAGGACATCTTTGTTCAACACCTCCTCTTTACTTATCTTATTAAGATCAAAGATAATCGTACTTATAATGCACACTATAAAATTCGCCGGTTTACTGTACATTTTGGAGAGTAAATAGTATATTAAAGAACGAGTTTCATAAGGCAAATATTGAGGCACGAATCCAAGTTTATAGAACGAGCGGCGAAGCCGCGAGTTATATAAAGGATGAGTGCCTCAATGGCCTTATGAACGAGTTATTTATACAATTTTTTCTACCGCACACGTTTTTTCCCAAAATTTAATTGAAATTTGCATTTTTTTTAATCTGGGGACTTTTGTCGTGGTTGGTAATGGGTTGATCTGACACTAACCACGAAATATTTGAGGTTCGAATTTTCACAACAACAACTGTAATTTGAATCAATTCGAGTTTTTGTAATTTAAAATTGGTTAAAATGTCTTGCGAAGAAGTTACGTGTCCGGAAACATGGGAAATTTCAAGTTTACATTTGCCACTGACATTCACCTGACATTTCTCGTCATGGCTACCAATCTTACCGATCTAAATTACACCAGATCTATTAAAGAACGCCTTTCCGCTATTAACGAACTGCTGTGACGTCATTTGCGTGCGTTAATAGCTCTATTAGAAAACCGAAAAACGTGGGCGGTAGAAAAATATAATTTTGCAACTACTTCAGTAAATAAAAGATTTTGTTTTTTATGATATTGTAGTGTCACGAAAGTATTCAACATGTGTTTTTAGAATAAAATAAATTAGCAAGCTTGACCATCTCCCAAAATTAAGGGTGGAAGGTGTAAATACACGACCTTATATGTGTGGCCACTTCAAAAACAATTTTTGCGAGTACTGATGTGTTTACATCGGGAAATTTTTCTCTAATAAAGTCGTTGAATTTTGGAAATCCATCAAATTTAAAGGCACCTTTAACATATAACCATAAATAAGTTTATGCAAAATAATATTGCGTAATTGTGACTAAATTACCAACTGTAGACGGATCACTTACCTGACCTAACTTGTCACTTTTTCTTAAAACTGGACAAATCCTAGCATGTTTCCACTTAATGGAAAATTTGTTGTCATTAAACAATAAAATTTGCTAAATCAGTTTTTATAATTAATTTAAGAAGCTAGATTTGCTTAAATTAGATGTGAAGGAAATACTGTTAAAATATATCTAGGCCAATTTTTCTTATTATCTTGCAATTATTCAGTTTTTATTTCGAGAAGACGCCAAATGTAGACTCGCGCTTGCGCTGCGATAGTGATTTATTGTCAGTTTTTTCTAGGTGTAGTTTATGAAAAAAGTGTGAATGATAAAAAAATTTAATACAGAAATTTACAGGTCTGATTGGTATTAAAACTTAAGTTAACTCACAGTTTAAAACTTGGAAGTTCTTAGTTAGAAACATTCAATATCCTCCAACAACTGTTTGTAGTCTTTTGCAGTCTAGTGAGTAAACAATCATTAGAACTGTTAACAAAATAATGGAACGTACCTTATTAGGAGAAAGTTGACCAGTAATTACAATACAAAGGACTATTCTTTTGTTAAAACGTAGCAGTAAGTTTTTGTTTTTTGGAATTTCAACTTTTTCCCAGTGCAACAAGTCGCTGGTCGTCTCTATAGTAGATATGGATGTGTAAAATTGCAACGTAACCTTTATCCGTGAAATCATGTATGGTTGATCTAAAACGAAAATGTTATTTTATTTTACAAATAATAGCAAACTTACTTAACCACAGCTCCACAGGGACTGAACCAGTAGGCTTGACCCTATGTTGATAAATAAGAAAAGTTTGAAAACAGTTTCTGTCTAGAGCACTGGGATAATCTTAACTTATCCCACTGAAATGAGTTAGTTTGATTGTTGTACAACTATTATTCCAAACACTAATAACAATATATTTCATTTATTTAAATCGATATTAATAAATCTGGACACTCCGGATAAAATTCTGTAGGTAGGTACTTATGTTTCACGTGGGTGAACCATTTGTTACCGTACTCGTGTGATCACAAAACTCAGTTTACCTATATCTCATTGCACGTAAATCTTACATTTAGGTACTTTTAACATGTAGCTACTTGTGTTTGTTCTGATACATACATATATTTTATCTCTTAAAAAGTGATAAAATACACTATGAAACTTTGTTTCACTAATCCACATACATAGTTTTACTAATAATTGAAAAACATTGATCGAAGTTTATTTCGATAGAACTTCCCTTGTCCTTGAAGTACAGTCCAATAATTTCCGATTTTTTGAAAAATTATAGCCTTTGATTTTGCGACTCTTGTTTTATAATCAGCTGTGTTAAGTACAAATTAGTGTTAAGGTGCTAATTTCAAGAAGGTGCAGCCCGCACAAATGCGAATAATATAAATTTGATTGATTTTGTCTTCTCAAAACAAAGGAGAGGACACATTTAATTATGTATTCCGTGTTCTTACATTTTCGAAGCAGTGTGCAGTGGGTCAAAATAAAAAAAAAACTGACCAAAAATCCATGTATGTTTTAATATTTACAAAATTTGGCGAAAATACATTTTAAAAATCACTGATCACGTATTAGTAGGCGGACTTAAATCAATAACAATGGCGGATCCAATATGGAATACTTTTCATTAAAAAAGTGTTTATTTTGAAGAAAAAATTAAATGAGCGCTATTTTCTTATTCGGCACTAAGTACAAATTTTAAGCTGAATGTACTCTAAATAGAATAGACGATTCAAATGGATTAATTAATTAGCCACACAAGGGTGTATGCAGCTTAGAAAATCGGTTATGAACGAAAGAATACATTTGCATTAAGCAGAATAATGATATTTGTGTGAGGAAATTTTTGCTAAAAAGTGTTTCGTAAATTTGAAGACATAGGTAATTATTTTAAATTAATATTTTTATGTTGCGATAGAATTTAGAACAAAATTTAAACTCTAAAATTTCGTAACAGAAATTAAATAAATCTTCTACGATTGCTGGAACTTCTCAAAAGTTTGAAGAGAAAAACGAAAATCTTTATTCAACCATTCAGATTTTATTTGTAAAATATAGTTTCCAATTTTGTAACTCCGTTTTCATATTTTTATTAATTTAGTATGTAAATTATAAGGGGTTTAAGGGGAAATTTGTAAAATACTTATTTTATTAGAATATTTTCCATGTCCAGCTGCTATAACACAATATTTTGAACTTACATAAATCTTAAACATTCCCGCCTGCAAAAAATGATATAATTATAATTTTCATAAAAACTTTATTAAGACTACGTTTTCTTATCTATATTTAAGAATTTTACAAATTTTATAAGTTATTTTTAATTCAAACTGAATGTTGATAAATAGATTGATGATAATACAGCCAAAGCAATATAACTGCAAATTATGTAAATTATAAAAGAGAATATTTTCATTGTGCACAAAAAGTGTCGGTTCATTCAAAAATTAAACAGCTGTGTAAAGATTTCCTGACACGGGTTGTCGTTTTGTTGTAGACTCTTGATTGTTTCGGACTGAAGTAGTCACAAACTATTAAAAAATATTTTCAACACGGCTACGGTTATCTGCAAATGCCTAATTTACCACAACTCAAGGAAACGGAATTTGATTCTTTGTCAAGAGGATAAATCATACTATTACGTGCACTCGTACTTGTTCCAAATATTAATTTACTTAAACGAAATATGAATTTTAAGAAAAAATTTAAGAGCTGCAGTTTTGAACTTTAGGTCAAGGTTTCCCTAGTTTGACTCACTGTGCAAAGAAGTGAACTGTTCGAGATTTTTGCAAAAAAAAGCTGCACTGAGAACTGAATCCTGGACCACTCATCTGCAGAGCTAGTGCATTACCACTCCGCCGACAGACATTTCGAATATTTGTCTAAAGAAAAAGACGGATTAAATAATAAACAAATATAATAACAATAATAATAAATAAAACCAAGGTAGATTCGTAAACCACAAATACAGGAGTACTTTAAAATATTGCATAAAATTTAGGCAATGTTAATTACGGAATATAATGAGCGGGCGTCATCAAATTGTTGGTGAAGATGATTAGCCAATTAGCGTTTTACCATCTAGATGATGTTCCTAACATACATCCAACATTTGACAACAATCAATCTAGTAGTTTTAGAGATTATCTGTCTGATGAAAATCGACACAGCGACAAACGAAAGAGAGACGACAGACAGACGAAAACGGGAGATAACTTTTTTCGTATTCGAGGGATTATGAAACGTCGAGAAAACATGACAGGAGCAAGTCGCCCGCTAAAATTGATGACAATGCTTCCTTAACTTACGCTTGGGGAAAAATGAAAATGTAAACATAACATTAGTTCAAATACAAATATCTTACCCGAATCCTATACAATATGTTTCGGAAGTTATCACGTTTGAAGAAGGGCAAACAACTTGGTTATGTATTGTAGGAACATTCCTGCTCATGTAAACTTGAAATTTACAAATTCTGGCTGAAGAATTCTACAAAGAGATTTATAGCATTTTATTTTTAAAATTATGAGTAGATCGTAAGATTATAGTTGGGCTGGATTTGAAGTTGCCGAGGTGTTAATTGTCAATTTCAAATTTTCCTATCTATACTATATAATCTACCAGTGTATTTTACTAATGTTACTCGAAATACAGAGTTCTATTACTGTAGCGTCCCGAGTAACACATAAATTTCATGGTATCTTTATACATAAAAGTAACGAAGAAAAGTTAAAAACAGCCCCATAACACGCATATAAGTTTCACTTTATACGTAAGTATAGTTTTTTGAACTCTTGCTTCACTTATGAAAAATAAATGACAATTTTTCGACAAAATTTGGATCTGACTTACTCTCTTTCATTTTTTAATTGGCAACGGGGCTTCGGATATTGGTTTTGTTTTTTTAACAATATATACCAGTTACTCGTTTACAAAAATGGCAATCGCTTATGAATAAAACAAATGCGTTTTTTTTTTTATAAATTTTTCTACATGAATACCAATTTTTCCCTCTCATTGACAACAGTAGAAATCGCTTTTATCTTAATTTTTTTTATTGTTATTTTTCCAAGCAAAGCTTTGCTTTAGCATCTAGACACATATTTTTGTCTTTCTATTTAAAGTATAATTATTTGCATTATATTAACTTAATTTATCTGTCTTTGGGTAATTATTTTCTAACATTTACCTTTAAAACTATTCGGATGTATCTAGCCTTCTGTTGTTCAAAATATAAATTTTGATTATATCTGCACATGTATCTACTGTAATCTATGACGCTATGCCAATTTTGTAGATCTGTGGAAATTTCAATGCTGTATTTGACCCACTTATTTCTGCGGATATGTACACATCAGCTGAAAAATTCACTAAGTAAACTTAGGGATAACGGTACCTACCCTATATTCATCGTTATGTGATTGAAGCATTTTACCCCAGCAAGATCTACAGTAATACCGTTTTTATCGTCCTCATTATGATAAGCACCATCTTCCTCGTTTCCAGTCTCTTCAAACAACATTGTGGTATTTAATCCAGAAATTACTTTAACATTATATTCTCCAGTTGCAAGATTTTTACTTTCAACTAAAAAAATATACAAGTCTATAGTTCTGACTTGTTTCTTACTTAATCAGTCTTCGTACTTACACTGTTCAACAATGTGTCGTTGCGTTTCTTTGGTACCGTTCCTTTCAATCGTTGCAAGTATATTCAGCACTTTTTCGTTTTCTATAACCTTTGATGGCCAAACAACAGTTAAAATTTCATTTAGCGTTAAGCAAGGAAACTGAACACATTCAATAACCAAGTTTTCCAAGTCTTCATTAATCTTGCACCAGTCGGCCGCTATCTTAAAGACATTGATTTCTTGAACAGGAAACGCATCTCTTTTCAACAAGTTGACCATAGATTTCTGAAATGAGGCATTATATGTTTAAGTGTACCCAGCTATTTTTGAAATTATGGATGTTACTTGTGTGAGAACGTTTAGAAAATCGTGTTCAAACGTTTGTGAAACATGTTCATCGATAAAAGTGTGACATATTTCTTTTAACTCGTCCATGTCATATGCATTGGCTATGTTTAGAAAGAAACAAACATTTGATAAATCCACAATGGAACCCATTTTTTCGTTTATAATTTGTACCAGTGTTTTTAACGAATATTCGTGTGCTAGCTTCAATATATCGGACACATAATTTTCATCTGATGATGCGATGACAACGGTTCCTGTCACAAATTCAACACGACAATGTATTCAAAATATTTAGTCAAAAGTTTGGCTAACTACCTGTATAAATGTAATACAGTATTGTTTCAAGAGCCTTTGAAGGCACATTGATTAATTCAATCTGGGCCTGAAAACAGTTTGTGGATGTTAATTTTTCATATAATTTACCTTACTTGTTTTGGGTCTTGCAGTAAAAGAGACTCAAAATATTTGCAACGAGCAGCGAGAACAATCTGAAAATTAAAATTTTATTCGCAAGTTAATTTTTGTGCAATGAGTTTAAAACTTACCTTGTGCGCATGGATTGTTTTATCGGATAAGATTAGCTGAATGTCGGAAAAAGTTTCCTTCAAGTAATAAGATGACATATCGTCGTAAATTTTCGAAGAATCTGTAATGATTAGTTTTTGTTGCGGTTCTTGTTCGTTTGCCATTTCGGTTGGTAGAAATCTAAAAATATTAAATAAGGAAATATTTTCGCAACGGCTGGAAGAAAGTGCTTAGAGCGATTGTAACGTGATTACTGATTAAACTGAAATGTTACCGTCATGCCTTTGGAATTACTTACGCTTATCTATCCATTTCTTAAATTACTGATAAATTGATAAAGACATATTTGAATCAGCTAGAACAAGTGATCTTTATTTGTCAACTGTTGTAATTAAGTACACGCCCTAACTTTAATCCGTCGTACTCTCTGTTTTAATTATTCCATTTTTTGATTTATTTTAATAATTAATACTTATGAGTAATTGAAGAGGAAAATAAGCGACGCCATTCTTTTTCACAATTCTGGTGTGTGAGTGCAATAGCCATGATAAGTAAGATAATAAATCACTTCAAAATATGTACTTTACCTAATTGTTTAAGTGAAACGTCGACACGATATTTTTTGACAATATGTTTAAAAAACCTCCTCGAAGCACTCTGATTGACTGATATGTTGAAAACCATTTTAGATATCAACGCAGGTTTCCAAGACCTTTCAAAAATATTGTTTCAATAGTCTTTTACATCTTTTTATTACAAAATGTTAACAATTCTTCATCTGTAGTTATGGTTTATTATTGAAAATCGGTGACTGGAAATGTTTTGTAAGCAGTTGTAAAAACCAAAAATGTATTACTAAAATAAAAGTAAATTTCAATTTCAACACAATTTTTACTTACTTACCATTTAATTAAGGTTGACGTTTTAAATTTTTTGGAAAGAATGAATATATTATTTTATGGATATATGGAACATAACCTTAAAATAATATTACTTATCAAAATTTTTAAGCAAATTGTGAAAACTTTTTTTTTTTTCATAATAAACCCTATACTTTAAAACATTAAAACATTAACAAAATTTCGTAATGACGTCATCAACTTTAAGTTAATTTTAAACGATTAATATTTGTGTTTTTGGTTAAGATGGGAACATATGTATTTAAAATTTTATGATAGCACATTACATGAACACAAATTTTGAAAACCAATTACGTAGCTGCCATTTTCTTATTGGTTTTTTAAGCGCGCTCATGTCAAAATTAACAACTGTGTCTGACATACTAACATTGCTGCCAATAATTCAGAACTGCCAACACAAAAATTTGCTTCTATCATCATTAATAGTCACTTGATCATTTTCAATCGTGATAGGTACACACAGCGTAACACTAGTAACCACACTGCTTCCATTGATGCTGAAATCCTGTTTTTTAAATATATTATTATAAAAATTAATTCTGGAAAAGTATTTTTTTATATATTAATGTCTGTGTCTTTAGAAATACATTCGTTCGCCATAAATAATATTATGTAAAATTCATATTACATTTTTTTGAAGGTAAGTTTTATGCGTAAGGTTAAAAATATCGATACTTTGTTAAGCATATATATAGAAATACAACACAAATTTCAAGCGAAGTAGTTATCAAAACCTTGAGATGACATCGTCAAATTTTTTGTGAGAATGAACAAAGAAAAGTTGGTTATCATTTTACCATTGACATAAGAAAACAAGAAGTTCGACACTAATTATTACATTAATCCCTTGGTTTACGGTGTCAGACAGACAAGTATATTGTAGTTCTATGTCCAAGGATTAGAGTTACCAAATTGTTAAATTCTTTAAAAAAAACTCTTAGGGTTCAAATGGTTATGTTGAAAGTGGATGAAAGAATTCACCAAAACATTATTTTCGATTTTCTTATTATGATCAATTATGTTTCTGGTTACTTACCTGGATCTGAATATATTTTCCCTTAGGATATTTTTATATTGTTCAGTTAATTATTGTACTTCAACCTGCTTCTGGTGTTTCCAAAAGAATGCCAGTATAAATGTTCACACAGCAACTAAACCGAAAGAATTTTACAAAACTCTTCTACAGTTGTGGCTTGCCAGCAACTCATAATTTTTGGAGTTAAATTGAAATGAAAAAGTGGATAATTTTAATTTCTTCAAAATTTTGGGACCACAGAACTGTTTTCTTGCTTATTTCACCATATTTTGTTTATTTCAGAAGTGAAAGAAATTTTGTTTAAATACGTCTAGGCCAATTTTTTACATCTCCTACTCAGGTTTTATTTCGACAGGACGGCAAAAGTAGACTCACACTTGCGCTACGATGGTGGTTTATTGTTAATTATTTCTAGGTGTAGTTTATGAAAAAATTGTTACAATGTTAAAAAAATTTAATACAAAAATTCACAGGTTTGATTGGTATTAAAACTTAACTTAACTCACAGTTTTGAACTTGGAAGTTCTTAGTTAGAAACGTTCAATATCCTCCAAAAACTGTTTGTAGTCGTTTGCAGTCTAGTGAGTAAACAATCATTAGAACTGTTAACAAAATGATGGAACTTACCTTATTAGGAGAGAGTTGACCACTAATTATGATACGACTGACTATTTTTTTGTTAAAACGTACCAGTAAGTTTTTGTCTTTTGGAAGTTCAACTTTTTCGCAGTGCAACCAGTCGCTGGACGTCTCTATAGTAGATATGGATTTGTAAAATTGCAACGTAACATTTATCAGTGAAATCATGTATGGTTGATCTAAAACGAAAATGTTATTCTATTTTACAAATAATAGCAAACTTACTTAAAAACAGATGCATCGTGAATGAACCAGGAGACCTGTCCCTATGTTGATAAATAAGAAAAGTTTGAAAACAGTTTCTGTCTACAGCACTGGGATTATCTTAACTTATCCCACTGAAATGAGTGAGTTTGATTGTTGTACAACTATTATTCCAAACACTAACAAATATACTTTTCATTAATTTAAATCGGTATAAATAAATCTGGACATTCCAGATAAAATTCTGTACCTAGGTACATTTCACGTGGGCAAACTATTTGTTACCGCACTCGTGTGACCACAAAACTCAGTTTACCTACATCACACTGTAAGTAAATCTTACATTTACTTTTAAAATGTAACTACTTCTGTTTGTTCTGATGGTAAGGTTACCTACATATATTTTATTTCTTAAAAAGTGATAAAAGAAACTATGAAACTTAATTCACTAGTCCACACACATAGTTTTGCCAATAATTGAAAAAAATTGATCGAAGATTATTTCAACAGAACTTTCCTTGTCCTTGAAGTAGAGTCCAACAATTGCCGATTCTTTGAAAAATTATATCATTTGATTTTGTGACTTTTCTTTTGTAATCTGCTCCATTCAGTAAAAATTAGAGCTAGAATAAGGTGCTAATTTCATGGCGGTGCAGCCCGCTCAAGTGGGAATAATATAAATTTTATTGATTTTGTCTCCTCAAAACAAAGAAGAGGACACATTTACTTATGCATTCTGTATTCTTACATTTTCGAAAAATGCACAGTAGGTCAAAATAAAAAAAACAGACCAAAAACGCATGTATGTTTTAATAATTACAAAATTTGGTGGAAACACATTTTAAAAGTCACTGATCTCGAATCAGTAGGCGGACTTTAATTAATAAAAATGGCGGATCCAATATGGAATACTTTTCATTAAAAGAGTGTTTATTTTGAAGAAAAAACTAAATGAGCGCTATTTTCTTATTCGGCACTAAGTACAAATTTTAAGCTGAATGCACTCTAAATAGAGTTGAGGATCCAAATGGCTTAATTAATTAGCCATACAAGGGTGTATGCAGCTTCGAAAATCGGTTATGAACGAAAGATTATATCTATTTGCAATAAACAGAATAATGATATTTGTGTGAGGAAATTTTTGCTAAAAAGTGTTTCGTAAATTTGAAGACATGGGTATTTAATTTTAAATTAATATTTTTATGTTGCGACAGAATTTAGAGGAAAATTTAAACTACAAAATTTCGTAACAGAAATTAATTAAAATTTCTACGATTGCTGGAACTTCTCAAAAGTTTGAAGAGTAAAACGAAAAAATGTATTCAACCTTTTAGCTTTTATTTGTAAAATATATGTAGATAGTTTCCAATTTTGTAACTCCGTTTTCGTATTTTTAGTAATTTAGCATGCAAATTATAAAGGACTTAAGGGGAAATTTGTAAAATATGTTCTTAAAATATTTTCTGTGTCCAACTGCTATAACACAATATTTTGAACTTAAATAAATCTGAAAAATTCCCGCCATCAAAAAATGATATAATTTTTTTTTTCTTATCTGTATTTACTTAACATAGAATATTCAGATAAGAATTTTACAACTTTTGTGAGTTAATTTTAATTCAAACTAGTTAATGTTTATAATTTGATTGATAATACACTCAAAGCAATAAAACTGCAGATGTTGTAAATTAAAAAAGAGAATATTTTTATTGTGCACAAAAAAAGTGCCGGTCCATTCAAAAATTAAACAGCTGTGTAAAGATTTCCTGAAGTAGTCACTATTAAAAAATTCTTTCAATACGGCTACGATTATCTCCAAATGTCTAATTTGCCACAACTCAAGGAATAGTATATTACATATCGAGGGTGGTAAGAAGCTAATTACGAACGAAGTTTATACACGAGCGAGCGTAGCGAGCGAGTGATGTAATATGAGTTCGTAATTAGCTTACCACCAGAGTTGTGTCATATACTTTTTCTACGATCTAGAATGAAGAATCACTTTCAGAAGAAATTTTTTTGGGAAAGCAAATATTTATAGTTGCTATGGAAACTATTCAAACAGGCACGTAATATATATATATACATATATATATTACGTGCCTGTTCATTCATTACATGCCAGTGGGTGTAACTATGGTTTTACTATGAGGCTAGACAATTCGTAATTCATGGATTACTATGTGGGAGTAGAAAAACGGAATATTATACTTTGTCAAGAGGATAAATCATACTATTACGTGCACCCGTACTTAGTCCAAGTATTTACTTTATAGAAATATGAATTTTAAAAAAATTTGAAGAGCTGCCATTTTGAACTTTTAGTCAAATTTTCCCTAATTTGACCCACTGTGCAAAAAGGTGAATTGTTGGGGATTTTTGTAAAAAAAAAGCTACACTGAGAACTGAATCCTGGATCTCTCATCCGCAAGGCTAGCCCATTACTACTCTGCCGACGGAAATTTTGTATACTTATCTGTCTAAAGATAACGAGAGATTAAACAATAAACAAATATAATAATAATACTTACATAAAACCAAGGTAGATTCGTAAACCACAAGTACAAAAGTATATTAAGGCATTTCATAAAATTTAGGTGGGGAAGATTAGCCAATTGGCGTTTTACCCCCTACATGATGTTTCTATCATACAACGAACATTTGAAAACAATCGATCTAGTGGTTTCAAAAATTATTTGTCTTATAAAAATCGAAACTGGCGATAGACGCCAGACAGACGACAGGTAGACGGAAACGGTAAATATTTTTTTTTTCGTGTTCGAGGGATTATGAAATGTCGAGAAAACATGACAGGAGCAAGTCGCTCGCTGAAATCGGTTACAATACTTCCTTAGCTTACGCTTGGGGGAAAAATGAAAATGTAAACATAGCATTAGTTCAAATACAAATATCTTACCAGACACTTATATACGTGTGGGAAGTTATCACGTTTGAAGAAGGGCAAACAATTTGGTTATGTATTTTAGGGACATTCCTGCTCATGTAAACTTGAAATTTACAAATTCTAGCTGAAGATTCCTACAAAGAGATTTATAGCATTTTATTTCTAAAATTATGAGTAGATAGCAAGATTATAGTTGGGCTGGATTTGAAGTTGCGAAGGTGTTAATTGTCAGTTTCTAATTTTCCTATCTATACTAGATAATCTACCAGTATGGTTTACTAATGTTACTCGAAATATAGAGTTCTATTACTGTAGCGTCCCGAGTAACACATAAATTTCATGGTATCTTTATACATAAAAGTAACGAAGAAAAGTTGAAAACAGCCGCATAACAGGCACACAAGTTTCACTTTTTACGTAAATATAGTTTTTTGAACTCTTGCTTCACTTATGAAAAATAAATGGCTATTTTTCAACAAAATTTGGATCTGGCTTACTCGCTTTCATTTTTTAGTTGGCAACGGGGCTTAGGATATTGGTTTTGTTTTTTTAACAATATATACCAGTTACTCGTTAACAAAAAAGGCAATCGCTTATGAATAAAACAAATGCGTTTTTTTTTTATAAATTTTTCTGCATGAATACCACTTTTTCCCTCGACTTGACAACAGTAGAAATCGCTTTTATCTTACTTTTTTTTTATTGTTATTTTCTCAAGCAAACCTTTGCTTTAGCATCTAGACACATACTTTTGTCTTTCTATTTAAAGTAAAATTATTTGCATTATATTAATTTAATTTATCTGTCTTTGGGTAATTATTTAACATTTACCTTTAAAACTATTCGGATGTATCTAGCTTTCTGTTGTTCAAAATATAAATTTTGATTATATTTGCATTTGTATCTACTGTAATCTATGACGTTATGCCACTTTTGTAGATCTGTGGAAATTTCAATGCTGTAACTGACCCATTTTCTGCAGATATTTACACATCAGCTGAAAAATTCATTAAATAAACTTAAGGGATAACGGTACCTACCTTATATTCATCGTTATGTGATTGAAGCATTTTACCCCAGCAAGATCTACAGTAATACCGTTTTTATCGTTCTCCATATGATAAGCATCATCTTCCTCATTTCCAGTGTCCTCAAACAGCATTGTGGTATTTAATCCAGAAATTACTTTAACATTATATTCTGCTGTAGCAAGATTTTTACTTTCAACTAAAAAAATATACAAGTCTCTTAATCAATCCTCGCACTTACACTTTTCAGAAACGTGTCTTTGTGTCTCTTTTGTACCGTTATTTTCAATAGTTGCAAGAACCTTTAGCAGTTTTTCGTTATCTACCACTTTAGACGGCCAAACAACATTTAAGATTTCGTTTCAGGTTAAGCAAGGAAACCGAACACATTCAATAACCAAGTTGTCCAAATCTTCATTAATCTTGCACCAGTTGGCCGCTATTTTAAAAACATCGATTTCTTGAACAGGAAACGCATCTCTTTTCAACAAGTTGACCATAGATTTCTGAAATGAGGTATTATGTGTTTAAGTGTACCCAGCTATTTTTGAAATTATGGATGTTACTTGTGTAAGAACGTTTAGAAAATCGTGTTCAAACGTTTGTGAAACATGTTCATCGATAAAAGTGTGACATATTTCTTTTAACTCGTCCATGTCATGTGCATTGGCTATGTTTAGAAAGAAACAAACATTTGATAAATCAACAATGGAACCCATTTTTTTGTTTATAATTTGTACCAGTGTTTTTAACGAATATACGTGTGCTAGCTTCAATATATCGGACACATAATTTTCATCTGGTGATGCGATGACAACGGTTCCTGCCACAAATTCAACACGACAATGTACTCAAAATAATTACTCAAAAGTTTGGCTAACTACCTGTATAAATGTAATACAGTATTGTTTCAAGAGCTTTTGAAGGCACATTGATTAATTCAATCTGGGCCTAAAAACAGTTTATGGATGTTAATTTTTTCATATAATTTGCCTTACTTCTTTTGGGTCTTGCAGTAAAAGAGACTCAAAATATTTGCAACGAGCAGCGAAAACAATCTGAAAATTAAAATTTTATTCGCAAGTTAATTTTTGTGCATGGTTTGTTTTATCGGATAAGATTAGTTGAATGTCGGAAAAAGTTTCCTTCAAGTAATAAGGTGACATATCGTCGTAAATTTTCGAAGAATCAGTAATGATTAGTTTTTGTTGCGGTTCTTCTTCGTTTGCCATTTTGGTTGGTAGAAATCTAAAAATATTAAATAAGGAAATATTTTCGCAACGGCTGGAAGAAAGTGCTTAGAGCGATTGCAACGTGATTACTTATTAAACTAAAATGTTACCGTCATGCCTTTGGAATTATTTACGCCTATCTATAGATTTCGTAAATTACTGATAAATTGATAAAGACATATTTGAATCAGCTGGAATAAGTGATCTTTATTTGTCAACTGTTGTAAAATCAAGCTAATTGAGTACACGCCCTAACTTTAATCCGTCGTATTCTTTGTTTTAATTATTCCATTTTTTAATTTATTTTAATACTTATGACCTATGAGTAATTGAAGAGAAAAATAAGCGACGCAATTGTTTTTCACAATTCTGGTGTGTGACTGTAATAGCCATGATAAGTAAGATAATAAATAACTTCAAAATATGTACTTTACCTAATTGTTTAAGTGAAACATCGACCCGATATTTTTTGACAATATGTTTAAAAACCTCCTCGAAGCACCCTAGTCCACTGATATGTTGAAAACAATTTTAGATATCAACGCAGGTTTCCAAGACCTTTCAAAAATATTGTTTCAATAGTGTTTTACATCATTCCATGACAAAATGTTAACAATTATTCGTCTGTAGTTATGGTTTATTGAAAATCGGTGATTGGAAAGGTTTTGTAAGCAGTTGTAAAAACTAAAAATTTATTACAAAAACAAAAGTAAGTTTCAATTTCAACACAACTTTTTACTTACCTACCATTTAATTAAGGTTCACGTTTTAAATTTTTTGGAAGGAATGAATACATTATTTTATGGATATATGTAACATGGCTATAAACATTAAAACAATGTTACTTATCAAAGTTTTTAACCAGTTTGTGAAAATGTATTTTTTTTTCATAAAAAACCATATTCTTTAAAACATGAAAATATTAACAAAATTTCCCAATGATTTCATCAACTTTCAGTTAATTGTAAACGACTAATATTTGTGTTTGTGGTTAAGATGACAACATATTTAAAATTTTATGATACCACATTACATGTACACAAATTTGGAAAACCAATTCCGTGACTACCATTTTCTTATTGGTTTTTTAAGCGAGCTCATGTCAAAATTGACAACTGTGTCTAACATACTAACATTGCTGCCAATAATTCAGAACTGCGAACACAAATATTTGTTTCTACTATTATCATTAATAGTCATTTGATCATTTTCAACTGTGATACACACAGCGTAACACTAATATAGTGGATTCATGTATCTTTTTGCCCACGTGACCAAAAGCTAACGTCCGAACTAAAAACTGTAACTTTGTAGTAATTAGTCAAAAAGATGACAATGTTCATAACGTCAACATAACACAAATGTCTTGTTTTCTCTTCAACTCTGCGTTTAAGGTCTTCAGAGTAATATGTTTTTCTTAAAGTATTTCATAGTTATTACAAAACTGTATTTTTTCGAGATTTAATCTTCGAAACCGTTTGGCGAGTTACGCAACTCGCTAAAAATTTGATACTATTAACCATGAACCTTCAAGTGGTTTTTCTTCACTTGTTCTAAAGCATTTAATGAGATTAAAGGACCACCGTTTTCTTTCTCAAGAGCAAAATACTCTATACGGTTCGACACCAATGTCCTGGGCACGAGAATTCAAAGGTTTGCCCGGCATGTTGTAGACTAAACACGAACAGGAAATAAGATAACAAAACAGAAAATAGATCAAAGAAACAAGAATACTAACAACCAACCAACTTTACGAAGAACTGAATAGAAAACTTGAATAGAACAACGAAAAACTGCGATTAACCACTCTGAGTAAAACCAAAAATGACAGTGAAGTTTGATGAAAAATCGATGAATTATTAATAGTCACTAGATTGACTAGATCAGTGCCTGTCGCACTATGTGGACGCATTTATTATGTATTTTGAGTTTTTCTAAACCAAGGAACTTTGTGGAAGAGAATAACAGGCGTAGACCATAATTTGGACTCATTGCGGTAGAATATTATTTGTCTGGCTTTTCGTTTTTATAATCTTTAAAACAAAGATTGCTATGATAGATGCTGTCTGAGCTTGTATCATACTTTGGTCACGTGTGTAAAAAGATACACGAATCCAACTATAACAGAGTGCATCCCCAATAGTTACTTTCATGTTTTTTAGTTTCATGAACTCTCGAGCATGAAAAGCAAATCTCCTGTTTCTGTCTGTCTGTCTATCGTGTATCATCTGTTCCACTTTTATTAGAAAATAATCTCCCAAAGTACAAGACCGATTCTTGTAAAATTTGGTGCATTTCAAGAATATCATGTAGGTGGTAAAATGCTAACGAAAATTTCTCTAATCTTTCCCACTAACAAATCAATAACGTCACCTCAAATTTTTCATTGTAGATATATTTGTTATTTAAATTTTATAAAATAGCGTACTACTATAATTGTGGTTTATGAATACGCCTTAAACTATTACCCTAAGCATCCAGATTTTGAAAAAAAAAAAACAATTTCCCTGCACTGTGAGTGCTATATATAATTTTTTCTAAAAAACGGGATTTGACTGATTGCACGTCACAAATGAGGGAAATTTGTCTGAAACCATTTTTATTTTGGGTGGTTGGTCATTTTTTTTACAGACGAACACATTAAAGGTTTGCTTACACATTTAGAAAACGTAATAGGTTAAAATTTCATATATTCAGAAAAGACATTAGAAGCTCGTATAAAATTATATTATTTTCTAAACTATTTGGTTTTTATTGTATGAACTAGTTCAGAATCAAATTAAAACCGCAAGCAGATATCAAATTTTAAATGTTTAATAAAATTAACTGTCCTTAATACTGAAATTCAACTAACACCAGCATATTCACAAATGAAAATCTGTAATCGTGATATTTATGTTCTAGGTTAGGTACCTACCTGGATTTGAATTATCCCTTAGGACAATTTCTTTTACATTATCCTTGCAATTATACGTCAGCCGATTTCTGTTGTTTACAAAATAATGCGAGTTTCTTCAGAAAGCAGCTAAATCTAGACCACGGTTGTAGAATAGATAGGTTGATTTACTAGCATACATTTGCATATCCCTGGTCGGCGACGCCAATTGCCGATGGCGTCGCCTGGTTTTTGGTGTTTTAGGGACACAGAACTCTATAGGCATCTGTCTATAACCGATGTAATTAATAAAAGAAATCGTACTTATCGACTCCGATCAAATGTCATTTACAAATTTTGCATTGTTCATAAAGCAATATAAACGAAAATCCCCAAAATAACTAGAATGATTTCCGCTCGATAAGGTAGAGGCGCTAGCTGTATATGTCCTTTCCATGGATATAGGGATCGAAAAGAAGCGTCGCCATCCCAAGCCATTAGTGTACAAACCTATCTATTCTACAACCGTGACCTAGACAAGTTTATAAAAGCCTTTCGTGACAACTAGGACGTCTTTCTTTATACGCCTCCTCTGATTTTAGGATTGTACCAAACCTGGTACTGTTTTTATTTAGGCGTCATCAGGAACTGCCATAACAGGCTTACATTTTGACTAGCATTTACTTATTTTATTAAGGTCAAGGATAATCCTATAATGTACACTATGAAATTCGCCGGCAATATAGTGTAAATTTTGGAGAGTAAAATATAATTTTGTAAATTTTTGTGGATTATGCTTGGACCTTAAAATGTTGTAGCTAAGCATCATGGTTGAAATTAAAGATAACATGTTTTATGGCTTCAGGAAAATTTATCTCTAATAAAGTCGTAGAATGTTGGAAATCCATCAAGTTTAAAGGCACCTTCAATATACATATTACCATAAATAAGTTTATGCAAAATAATATTGCGTAATTGTAGCTAAATTACGAACTGTAGGCCGATTACTTACCAAACCATCTTCATTGGGAGAGATATTTATGCACATACATATTTTCCTTAACTGCCGAAAATTTTGAGAAAATTTGGTTATATTGAAATTTTGCCATAGTTTAATACATATCTGACCTACCTGTCACTTTTTTTTAAAACTGGACAGATCCTAGCACCTTTTCACTTTAACGGAAAACTTGTTGTCAATAAAATTTGAGTAATACCTAAATGTTTGTAATTAATTTATTAAGCTGCATTTGTTTAATACAGAGGTGAAGGAAATTCAGCATAAACATGACTAGACCAATTTTTAGCACATTATCTTGCAACTGTTACTTCAGTTATTCAGTTTTTATTTCGACAAGACGGCAAATGTAGATTCAAACTTGCGGGACGATAGTGGTTTATTTACAATTTTTTCTAGGTGTAGTTTATGAAAAAAGGGTTAAAATGATAAAAAAAAAAATAATACAGAAATTTACAGATTTAATTGTTATTATAACTTAACTTAACCTAAAGTTTTGAACTTGGAAGTTCTTAATTACAAACATTCAATATCCTCCAAAAACTGTCTGTAGTCGTTTGCAGTCTAGTGAGTAAACAATCATTAGGACTGTTAACAAAATGATGGAACTCACCTTATTAGGAGAAAGTTGACCAATAATTTTTATAGCAGTAACTATTCTTTTGCTAAAACCTAGCAGTAAGTTTTTGTCTTTTGGAAGTTCAACTTTTTCCCGGTGCGACCAGTCGCTAAATGTCTCTATACTAGATATGGCTTTGTAAAATTGCAACGTAACCTTTATCCGTGAAATCATGTATGGTTGACCTAAAACGAAAATATTATTTTATTTTACAAATAATAGCAAACTTACTTAAACACAGATGCGTAGTGAATAAACCACGTGTCCCCCTATGTTGATAAATAAGAAAAGTTTGAAAACAGTTTCTGTCTACAGCACTGGGAAAATTTTAACTCAAATGAGTGAGTTTGATTGTTGTTCAACTATTATTCCATACACTAATAAAAATGTTTTTCATTTATTTAAATCGATATCAATAAATCTGGGCATTCCAGATAAAATTCTGTACCTAGGTACGTTTCATGTGGGCGAACTAAAATTTGTTTCCATACTCGTGTGAACACAAAACTTAGTTTACCTACATCACACTGTAAGTAAACTTTACATTTACTTTTAACATGTAACAACTTCTGGTTGTTTTGATGGTAAGGTTACCTAAACATATTTTATTTCTTAAAAAGTGATAAAAGAAACTGTGAAACTTAATTCACTAGTCCACATACATAGTTTTACCGATAATTGAAAAAAATTGGTCGAAGGTTATTTCGACAGAACTTCCCTTGTCCTTGAAGTACAGTCAAATAAATCCCGATTCCTTGAAAAATTATAGAATTTGATTTTCCGACTTTTGTTTTGTAATCAGCTCTGTTAATTAAGCAGCCCGCACAAATGCGAATAATATAAATTTGATTGATTTTGTTTTCTAAAAACAAAGAAAAGGACGACACATTTAATTATGTATTCTGTATTCTTACATTTTCGAAACAATACACAGTGGGTCAAAATAAAAAAATAAACTGACCAAAAATCCATGTATGTTTTAATATTCACAAAATTTGGTGGAAATACATTTTCAAAATCACTGATCACGAATTAGTAGGCGGACTTAAATTAATGAAAATAGCGGATCCAATATGGAATATTTTTCATTAAAAAAAGTGTTTATTTTGAAGAAAAAACTAAAAGAGCGCTATTTTCTTATTCGGCACTTAGTACAAATTTCAAGCTGAATTTAACCTAAATAGAGTTGAGGATCAAAATGGCTTATTTAATTAACCATACAAGGGCGTGCAGAATAATGAGATTTGTGTGAAGGAATTTTTGCTAAAAAGTGTCTCGTAAATTTGAAGACATAGGTATTTAATTTTAAATTAATATTTTTATGTTGCGACAGAATTTAGAACAAAATTTAAACTATAAAATTTCGTAACAGAAATTAATTTAAATCTTCTAGGATTGCTGGAACTTCTCGAAAGTTTAAAGAGAAAACCGAAAAATATTATTCAACCATTCAGCTTTTATTTGTAAAATATAGTTTCCAATTTTGTAACTCAGTTTCCATATTTTTAGTAATTTAGCATGTAAATTATAAGACGTTTAAGGGGAAATTTGTAAAATATTTTCTTAGAATATTTTCCATGTCCAGCTGCTATAACACAATATTTTGAACTTAAAAATAATTATTATTTTAATAAAAACTTTATTAAGACTACGTTTTCTTATCTATATTTAAGAATTTTACAAATTTTGTAAGTTATTTTTTATTCAAAGTGAATGTTGATAATTAGATTGATAATACAGCCAACACAATATAACTGCAAAATATGTAAATTATAAAAGAGAATATTTTCATTGTGCACAAACAAGTCCATTCAAAAATTAAACAGCTGTGTAAAGATTTCCTGACAAGGGTTATAGTTTTGTTGTAGAATTTTACAACTTTTGTGAGTTAATTTTAATTCAAACTAGTTAATGTTGATAATTTGATTGATAATACACTCAAAGCAATAAAACTGCAGATCTTGTAAATTAAAAAAGAGAATATTTTTATTGTGCACAAAAAAAAGTGCCTGCCCATTCAAAAATTAAACAGCTGTGTAAAGATTTCCTATTAAAAAATACTTTCAACACGGCTACGATTATCTGCAAATGTCTAATTTGCCACAACTCAAGGAAACGGAATATTATACTTTGTCAAGAGGATAAATCATACTATTACGTGCACTCGTACTTGTTCCAAATATTAATTTACTTAATCGAAATAGGAATTTAAAAAAAAATTAAGAGCTGCAGTTTTGAACTTTTAGTCAAGGTTTCCCTAGTTTGGTTCACTGTACAAAGACGTGAACTGTTCGAGATTTTTGCAAAAATAAGCTGCACTGAGAATTGAATGCTGGACCTCTGATCTGAAAGGCTAGCGCACTACCACTCCGCCGACGGAAATTTCGTATATTTGTCTAAAGAAAAAGAGGGATTAAGCAACAAACAAATATAATAATAATTATAAATAAAATCAAGGTAGATTCGTAAACCACAAGTTCAAGTACAAGGAGTACATTAAAGTATTTCATAATCTTAATTACGGAATATAATGAACGGGCGTTATCAAACGGCTTTGGTGGAGATGATTAGCCAATTAGCGCTTTACCACCTAGATGATGTTTCTAACAAACATCCAACATTTGATAACAATCAATCTAGTAGTTTTAGAGATTATCTGTCTTATGAAAATCGACACAGGGACAAACGACAGACAGACGACAGACAAACTGAAACGGGAGATAACTTTTTTCGTGTTCGAGGGATTATGTAACGTTGAGAAAACATGACAGGAGCAAGTTGCCCGCTGAAATCGATTACAATGCTTCCTTAACTTACGCTTGGGGGAAAAATGAAAATGTAAACATACTATTAGTTCAAAGGCATTTATCTTACCGGCACTCTATATACGTTTCGGGCGTTATCACGTTTGAAGAAGGGCAAACAATTTGTTTATGTATTGTAGGAACATTCCTGCTCATGTAAACTTGAAATTTACAAATTCTGGCTGAAGAGTACTGCAAAGAAATTTATAGCATTATCTTTTTAAATTGATGAGAAGATACTAGGATTTGAATCTTGGCGATGTGCTAATTGCCAATTTCTAATTTTTCTATCTATACTACGATCTACTAGCATATTTTACTAATATTACTCGAAATATGGAGTTCTATTACTGTAGCGTCTCGAGTAACACATACATTTCATGGTATCTTTATAGATAAAAGTAACGAAGAAAAGTTGAAAACAGCCCCATAACAGGCACACAAGTTTTAGTTTTTACGTAAATATAGTTTTTTGAACTCTTGCTTCTCTTTTGAAAAATAAATAGCAATTTTTCAACAAAATTTGGATCTGACTTACTCTCTTTCATTTTTTAGTTGGCAACAGAGCTTGGGATATTGGTTTTGTTTTTTAACAATATATACCTGTTACTCGTTAACAAAAACAGGCAATCGCTCATGAATAAAACAAATGCGTTTTCTTTATAAATTTTTTTACTCTTCTTGACAAGAGTAGAAATCACTTTTTTCTTACTTTTTATTTTTATTTTCTTAAGCAAAGCTTTGCCTTAGCATCTAGGTACATATTTCTGTCTTTCTATTTAAAGTAATAATATTTGCATTTACTTGAATTTAATTTATCTGCTTTTGGTTAATTATTTATTAACATTTACCTTTAAAACTATTCGGATGTATCTAGCTCTTTGTTTTTCAAAGTATAAATTTTGTTTATATTTGCAGTAGTATGTACTGTAATATATAACGTTATGCCACTTTTGTAGATCTGTGGAAATTTCAATGCTGTAACCGACCCACGATTCTCTGCAGATATTTACACATCAGCTAAAAAATTCACTAAGTAAACTTAGGAATAACGGTACCTACCCTATATTCATCGTTATGTGATTGAAGCATTTTACCCCAGCAAGATCTACAGTAATACCGTTTTTATCGTTCTCCATATGATAAGTACCATCTTTCTCGTTTTTAGTTTCTTCAAACAACATTGTGGTATGTAATCCAGAAATTACTTTAACGTTATATTCTGCTGTAGCAAGATTTTTACCTTCAACTAAAAAAAATATACAGTCTAGAATTCTGACTTGTTTCTTACTTAATCAGTCTTCGTACTTACACTGTTCAACAATGTGTCGTTGCGTTTCTTTGGTACCGTTCCTTTCAATCGTTGCAATAATATCCAGCACTTTTTCGTTATCTATAACTTTTGATGGCCAAACAACATTTATAATTTCATTTAGCGTTAAGCAAGGAAACCGAACACATTCAATAACCAAGTTGTCCAAGTCTTCGTTAATCTTGCACCAATTGGCCGCTATCTTAAAAACATCGATTTCTTGAACAGGAAACGCACCTCTTTTCAACAAGTTGACCATAGATTTCTGAAATGAGGCATCATATGTTCAAGTGTACCTAGCTATTTTAGAGATGTTACTTGTGTGAGAACGTTTAAAAAATCGTATTCAAACGTTTGTGAAACATGTTCATCGATAAAAGTATGACATTTTTCTTTTAACTCGTCCATGTCATGTGCATTGGCTATGTTTAGAAAGAAAGAAACATTTGATAAATCCACAATGGAACCCATTTTTTGGTTTATAAATTGTACCAGTGTTTTTAACGAATATTCTTGTGCTAGCTTCAATATATCGGACACATAATTTTCATCTGATGATGCGATGACAACGGTCCCTGCCACAAATTCAACACGACAATGTATTCAAAATATTTAGTCAAAAGTTTGGCTAACTACCTGTATAAATGTAATACAGTATTGTTTCAAGAGCCTTTGAAGGCACATTGATTAATTCAATCTGGGTCTGAAAACAGTTTATGGATGTTAATTTTTCCAAAAAATTTGCCTTACTTGTTTTGGGTCTTGCAGTAAAAGAGACTCAAAATATTTGCAACGAGCAGCGAGAACAATCTCAAAATTAAAATTTTATTCGGAACTTAATCTTTTTGAAAACGAGTGAATCCCCTACCTTGTGCGCATGGAGTGTTTTATCGGATAAGATTAGTTGAATGTCGGAAAAAGTTTCCTTCAAGTAATAAGATGACATAACGTCGTAAATTTTCGAAGAATCAGTAATGATTAGTTTTTGTTGCGGTTCTTCTTCGTTTGTCATTTTGGTTGATAGAAATCTAAAAATATTAAATAAGGACATATTTTCGCAACGGCTGGAAGAAAGTGCTTTGAGCGATTGTAACGTAATTACTGATTAAACTGAAATGTTACCGTTATGCTTTTGGAATTACTTACGCTTATCTATCGATTTCTTAAATTACTGATAAATTGATAAAGACATATTTGAATCAGCTAGAACAGGTGATCTTTAATTGTCAACTGTTGTAAAATCAACCTAATTGAATACACGCCCTAACTTTAATCCGTCGTATTCTGTGTTTTAATTATTCCATTTTTTAATTTAATATAATACTTATCACTTACGAGTTATTGAAGAGGAAAATAAGCGACGCCATTTTTTTCACAATTCTGGTGTGTGAGTGTAATAGCCATGATAAGTAAGATAATAAATAACTTCAAAATATGTACTTTACCTAATTGTTTAAGTGAAACGTCGACCCGATATTTTTTGACAATATGTTTAAAAAACCTCCTCGAAGCATTTTAAAAACAATTTTAGATATCAACGCAGGTTTCCAAGACCTTTTAAAAATATTGTTTCAATAGTCTTTTACATCATTCTACAACAAAATGTTAACAATTCTTCGTCTATAGTTATGGTTTATTATTGAAAATCGGTGACTGGAAATGTTTTGTAAGCAGTTGTAAAAACCAAAAATGTATTACTAAAATAAAAGTAAGTTTCAACTTCAACACAATTTTTACTTACCTACCATTTAATTAAGGTTGACGTTTTAAATTTTTTGGAAGAAATTAATATATTATTTTATGGATATATGTAACATGCCTATAAACGCTAAAACAATGTTACTTCTAAAATTTTTTAACCAGATTGTGAAAATGTAACACTTAACAACTTTAAAATATGAAAACATTAACAAAATTTCGCAGTTCATATCATCAAATCTTAGTTAATTGTAAACGACTAATATTTGTGTTTTTGGTTAAGATTACAACATATTTGAAATTTTATTATAGCACATTACATGGTCACAAAGTTTGGAAACCAATTCCGTAGCTGCCATTTTCTTATTGGATTTTTAAGCGCGCTCATGTCAAAATTGACAACTATGGCTGACATACTAATATTGCTGCCAATAATTCAGAACTGTCAACACAAAAATTTGCTTCTATCATCATAAATAGTCATTTGATCATTTTCAATTGTGATACACACAACAGAGTAACACTAATATAGTGGATTCATGTATCTTTTTACACACCTGACCAAAAGCTAACGTCCGAACTAATAACTGTAACTTTGTAGCATGGGCGCCGGCAGGGGGGTGCACCCCCTTGTACCCCTGGCTTAGTATAAAATACACACTTTAATTTAAATCCAAATTGCAATCTTCTAGGAAGTGGATAATAGTTTTTGAAATGGCTTCCGCCAGTGGCGGCTGGTGACCTTTTGAAATGGGGGGACACAATTTGACTGATGAGTTAAATATGAACATATAAAACAGGTTTTTATTACCAATTAATAGGCAAAATTGTGTGACGGAAATAAATACAAAAATACATTCAATAAAAATAAAAATAAAAAAACTCCAAATACCTTTTTGCCTTCGGTGTTCATGGCATCTAAAAGTTCATTTTGGACAGTTTTAGGCGTTCCTTTAAAAACCGTTGCTTCAATCAAATGATCTGATAAAGTCCAATTCAGCCATAAAATACTTTCGTCATGTTCACGTCAAACACTCCACAAAATTTTATGCATATTATCAATCGGCACAATATATGGCGATTTTTTTCGACCCTTGCGTTATGTGCCCGAATATTATTAATATAAGCGGTGTGTAGTTGTTTCCGAATGTCTGTATTACCGAGAAGATTATCCAAGAATATTTATCATACGTGTTCGCACCGAATGAAAATTAAAACCCTCGATAGTAACTCAATCCTCCAGAGCATGGTCGCAATGGGCTCACAATCCAGTTGTATCAGGCGCATATCAGGCGGCTACGACGTGTAGTTTCCATAGCAACGGTGTGAACAAAACATCTAAATCAGCCATGACTCGGTCCATTCAGTCTTTGTGCCTGGCTTTTGTCAGCATTTCATCAGAAATAACATATCATATATCCAAGACACATCTTTGGATGCAAGTGGAAGTAAGTTTTGATACATTTTATACAAGTGAAGCGCGATAAAAAAATTAGTTTTGATAATTTTGACACAAATTTCCGGATAATTTTTTAAATATTGAAAATTACTATTTTGCTATGTCCAGTGTGTTTGTAGATGTTGTAATTTTGGAGGGGCATGTGCCCTTGTGCCCCCCGGCACACCTGAAAAATGGATGCCTGATTCACCTCCTCAATTATTTTGCCCTTCAGAACATCAGAAGAAATTTCAATCAATTCATTTTGAATTTGATGCGATATATACAAAGAGTTTCTTGCTCCTGACTCTAAATGATTTTTAAAATTTCATCCCCAGATTCAATTCGAAAATGGAGCAAATATACTATATCCTATGAGTGTATGGGTGCACCTCCCTGCAAATAATCCTGCCGGCGCCCATGCTTTGTAGTAATTAGTCAAAAAGATGACATAACGTCGACATAACACAAATGTCTTGTTTTCTCTTCACCTCTGCGTTTAAGGTCTTCAGAGTAATATGTGTTTCTTAAAGTATTTCATGGTTATTACAAAACTGTATCTATGGGATTTCTTAAACCAACTGTTTTTACACATTTCATAAATTGTCCTGCGGGTTTCCGTTTTTATAGGCTCAGTAGGTTCTTTGTTTTCAGTGTTTTCCGTTTGGGCCTTGATTTTGTTGGACTAGGAAGCCCAGTCTTTCTTTTCGGGATTTAATCTTCGAAACCGTTTGGCGAGTTACGCAACTCACTTAAAATTTGAGCGAAACTATTAACCATGAACCTTCAAGTGGTTTTTCCTTACATGTTCTATACCATTTAAAGAGATTAAAGGACCACTGTTTTCTTTCTCAAGAGCAAAATTATCTATAAGGTTGGACACCATGTCCTGGGCACGAGAACTCAAAGGTTTGCCCGGCATGTTGTAGACTAAACACGAACAGAAAATAAGATAACAAAACAGAAAATAGGTCAAAGAAACAAGAATACTAACAACCAACGAACTTTACAAGGAACTGAATAGAAAACTTGAATAGAACAACGAAAAATTGCGATTAACCACTCTGAGTAAAACCAAAAATAACAGTGAAGTTTGATGAAAAATCGATAAATTACTAGATTGACTACATCAGTGCCTGTCGCACTATGTGGACGCACTTATTATGTATTTTATCTTTTTCTAATTCAAGGAACTTTGTGGAAGAGAATAACTGACGTAGACCATAATTTGGACTCATTTCGGTAGTCATATAATTTTTCTGCCTCTTCGTTTTTATAATCCTTAAAACAAAGATTCCTACGATAGATGCTGTCTGATACTTTGGTCACGTGTCTAAAAAGATACATGAATCCAACTATAACAGAATGCATCCCCAATAGTTACTTTCATGTTTTTTAGTTTCATGAACTCTCGAGCATGAAAAACAAATCTCCTGTTTCGGCCTGTCTGTCTATCGTGCATCATCTGTTCCACTTTTATTAGAAGATAATCTCCCAAAGTACAAGACCGATTCTTGTCAAATTTGGTACATTTCAAGAATATCGTGTAGGTGGTAAAATGCTAACGAAAATTTTTCTAATCTTTCCCACCAACATATCGATAACGTCACCTCAAATTTTTCATTGTCGATATATTTATTATTTAAATTTTATAAAATAGCGTACTACTACAATTGTGATTTATGAATGCGCGTTAAAGTATTGCCATAGGCATCCAGATTTTGAAAAAAAAAACAATTTCCTTGCACGGTGAGTGGTATATATAATTTTTTCTAAAAAACAGGATTTCACTGATTGCACGTCACAAGTGAGGGAAATTCGTCTGAAAGCATGAGACCAATTTTTTTTTTATTTTGGGGGGTGGTCATTTTTTTATTATTTACAGACGTACACTTTACAGCTTTAGTTGTACTTTTAGAAATCGTAATGGGTTAAAATTTCATATATTCAGAAAAGACATTAGAAGCTCGTATAAAATTATATTATTTTCCAAACTATTTGGTTTTTACTGTATGAACTGGTTCAGAATCAGATAAAAACCGCGAGCAGATATCAGATTTTAAATGTTTAATAAAATTAACTGTCCTTAATACTGAAATTCAACTAACACCAGTATATTCACAAATAAAATTATATAATCGTGATATTTATGTTCTAGGTTAGGTACGTGCCTGGATTTGAATTATCCCTTAGGACAATTTCTTTTATATTGTCCTTGCAATTATACGTCAGCCTATTTCTGTTGTTTCCAAAATAATGCGAGTTTCTTCAGAAAGCAGCTAAACCTAGACAAGTTTACAAAAAAAAGCCTTTCGTGACAACTAGGATCTCTTTCTTTATACACTTCCTCTGATTTTAGGATTTTACCAAATCTGATACTGTTTTTATTTAGGCATCATCAGCCGAAACAAGCTTACAGTTTGACTAGGATTTACTTATTTTATTAAGGTCAAAGATAATCCTATAATGTACACTATGACATTCCCTGGCAATATAGTGTAAATTTTGGAGAGTAAAATATAATTTTGTAAATTTTTGTGGATTATGCTTGGACCTTAAAATGTTGTGGCTAAGCATCATTGTTGAAATTAAAGATAACATGTTTTATGGCTTCAGTAAAATTTATCTCTAATAAAGTCGTAGAATTTAGGAAATCCATCAAGTTTAAAGGCACCTTCAATATACACATTACCATAAATAAGTTTATGCAAAATAATATTGCGTAATTGTAGCTAAATTACGAACTGTAGGCCGATTACTTACCAAACCATCTTCATTGGGAGAGATATTTATGCACATATATATTTTTCTTAACTACCGAAAATTTTGAGAAAATTTGGTTATATTGAAATTTTGCCATAGTTTAATAGATATCTGACCTACCTGTCACTTTTTCTTAAAACTGGGCAGATCCTAACACGTTTTCACTTTAACGGAAAACTTGTTGTCAATAAAATTTGAGTAATTCCTAAATGTTTGTAATTAATTTATTAAGCTGCATTTATTTAATACACAGGTGAAGGAAATTCCGCTTAAACATGACTAGACCAATCTTTAGCACATCATCTTGCAACTATTACTTCAGTTATTTAGTTTTTATTTCGACAAGACGGCAAATGTAGATTCAAACTTGCGCGACGATAGTGGTTTATTTTCAATTTTTTCCAGGTGTAGTTTATGAAAAAAGTGTTAGAATGATAAACAAATTTAATACAGAAATTTACATATTTAATTGTTATTATAACTTAACTTAACCTAAAGTTTTGAATTTGGAAGTTCTTAATTACAAACATTCAATATCCTCCAAAAACTGTTTGTAGTCGTTTGCAGTCTAGTGAGTAAACAATCATTAGAACTGTTAACAAAATGATGGAACTCACCTTATTAGGAGAAAGTTTACCAATAATTCTAATAAAAATTACTATTCTTTTGTTAAAACGGAGCAGTAAGTTTTGGTGTTTTGGAAGTTCAACTTCTTCCAAGTCCCCGTCGCTGGATATCCCTATACTTGATATAGATTTGTAAAATTGCAGCCTAACCTTTATCCGTGAAATCATGTATGGTTGATCTAAAACGAAAATGTTATTTTTTTTTTACAAATTATAGCAAACTTACTTAAAAACAGACGCGTAGTGAATGAACCAGGAGACGTCTCCCTATGTTGATAAATAAGAAAAATTTTAAAACAGTTTCTGTCTACAGCACTGGTATAATCTTAACTTATACCACTGAAATGAGTGCGTTTGATTTTTGTTCAACTATATTATTCCAAACACTAATAACAATATATTTCATTTATGTAATGTCCAGATTTATTAATATCGATTTAAATATTAATAAATCTGGACATTCCGGATAAAATTCTGTAGGTACTTAAGTTTCACGTGGGCGAACCATTTGTTACCGTACTCGTGTGATTACAAAACACAGTTTACCTATATCTCATTGCACGTAAATCTTTATTTCATTTAGGTACTTTTAACATGTAACTACTTGTGTTTGATGTGATGGTAAGGTCAATTACATATGTTTTATTTCTTAAAAAGTGATAAAATACATTATGGAACCATATTCACTGGTCCGAATACATAGTTTTACCAATAATGGAAAAAATTGATCGAAGTTTATTTCGACAGAACTTCCCTTGTTCTTGAAGTACAGTCCAACAATTTCCGATTCTCTGAAAAATTATAGCATTGGATTTTGCGACTTCTGTTTTATAATCAGCTCTGTAAAGTAAACATTAGTGCTAAGGTGCTAATTTCAAGTAGGTGCAGCCCGCACAAGTGCGAATAATGTAAATTTGATTGATTTTGTTTCCTCAAAACAAAGGAGAGGACACATTTAATTATGTAATCTGGGTTCTTACATTTTCAAAACAACGCACAGTGGGACAAAATAAAAAAAATGGCCAAAAATCCATGTATGTTTTAATATCTACAAAAGTCGGTGGAAATACATTTTAAAAATAATAGTTTAAAAAACTAAAAAAACACGCTTTTATTGCTAATCGAACTAAAAACTAGGAAATAATTTTTAATGACAGAGTTTAATATTACAGTAGTAGAAGATCAAACAATCAATCATAATAAATCACCTCAAATTAAAATTATAATAAAATTTAAGTTATTAACAGAATAATTCAATTCAGAGTAAAAAGCGTGGGGTGCTTGATATTTTAAATATTACAATCATTCTATTGGCAACTATCTATGAGAGGATAGTTATGAACCGCAGTAAAATGCACCCCACGCTTTTTACTCTGAATTGAATTATTCTGTTAAAAACTTAAATTTTATTATAATTTTAATTTGAGGTGATTTATTATGATTGATTGTTTGATCTTCTACTACTGTAATATTAAACTCTGTCATTAAAAATTATTTCCTAGTTTTTAGTTCGATTAGCAATAAAAGCGTGTTTTTTTAGTTTTTTAAACTATTATTTATTTTTCATTTTTTAGTCTGCGACAAATTCATAAATTGGGGAATTAATTACTTATTTAGATTTTTCTAGAAAGAACCACTCAGTGGTCTCCGTAGGATCGAGGATCCTGGCGGTCCTAATAAGGATAATGGGAAACTGTTATCAAATTATTGCATTGTCATCGATCCTTGAGACGTGTGCAAAGTTTCAAGATGATCAGACTTTTAGAAACCGATGAAAATTAAGCTCAAAGATTCCGTTACATACATACATAGATACAACCCAAGCTAATAAAAGCGTGATAAAAATCACTGATCACGAATTAGTAGGCGGACTTAATTTAATAAAAATGGCGGATCCAATATGGTACACTTTTCATTAAAAAAGTGTTTATTTTGAAGAAAAAACTAAATGAGCGCTATTTTCTTATTAGGCACTAAGTACAAATTTTAAGCTGAATGTACCCTAAATAGAATTGAGGATCCAAATGGCTTAATTAATTAACCATATAAGGGTGTATTCAGCTTCGAAAATCGGTTTGAACGAAAGATTATATTTGCATTAAGCAGAATAATGATTTTTGTGTGAGGAAATTTTTGCTAAAAAGTGTTTCGTAAATTTGAAGACATATGTATTTAATTTTAAATTAATATTTTTATGTTGCGACAGAATTTAGAACAAAATTTAAACTATAAAATTTCATAACAAGAAATTAATTAATTCTTCTACGATTGCTGGAGTTTCTCAAAAGTTTGAAGAGTAAAACGAAAAACTTTATTCAACCATTCAGCTTCCATTTGTAAAATATATATATGTAGATGGTTTCTAATTTCGTAACTCCGTTTTCATATTTTTAGTAATTTAGCATGCAAATTATAAAGGGTTTAAGGGGAAATTTGTAAAATATGTTTTTAGAATATTTTCCGTGTCCAACTGCTATAACACAATATTTTGAACTTAAATAAATCTGAAAAATTCCCGCCATCAAAAAATTATATCATCATTTTTTTTTCTTATCTATATTTACTTAACACAGAATATTCAGATAAGAATTTTACAACTTTTGTGAGTTAATTTTAATTCAAACTAGTTAATGTTGATGATTTAATTGATAATAAACTCAAAGCAATAACACTGCCAATGATGTAAATTAAAAAAGAGAATATTTTTATTGTGCACAAAAAAGTGTCGGTTCATTTAAAAATTAAACAGCTGTGTAAAGATTTCCTGACACGGGTTGTAGTTTTGTTGTAGACTTTTAATTGTTTCGGACTGAAGTAGTCACAAACTATTAAAAAATTCTTTCAACACGGCTACGATTATCTCCAAATGTCTAATTTGCCACAACTCAAGGAAACGGAATTTTATACATTGTCAAGAGGATAAATCATACTATTACGTGCACCCGTACTTAGTCCAAGTATTTACTTTATAGAAATATGAATTTAAAAAAAATTTGGAGAGCTGCAATTTTGAACTTTTAGTCAAATATTCCATAATTTGACCCACTGTGCTAAAAGTTGAATTGTTGGGGATTTTTGTAAAAAAAAAGCTACACTGAGAACTGAATCCTGGATCTCTCATCCGCAAGGCTAGTCCATTACTACTCTACCGACTGAAATTTTGTATACTTATCTGTCTAAAGATAACGAGAGATTAAACAATAAACAAATATAATAATAATACTTACATAAAACCAAGGTAGATTCGTAAACCACAAGTCCAAAAGTATATTAAGGCATTTCATAAAATTTAGGTGGGGAAGATTCGCCAATTGGCGTTTTACCACCTATATGATGTTTCTAACATACATCCAACATTTGAAAACAATCGATCTAGTGGTTTCAGAAATTATTTGTCTTGTAAAAATCGACACTGGCGATACACGCCAGACAGACGACAGACAGACGGAAACAGGATATAACATTTTTCGTGTAGGAGGGATTATGAAATATCGAGAAAACATGACAGGAGCAAGTCGCTCGCTGAAATCGGTTACATACTTCCTTAGCTTATGCTTGGGGGAAAAATGAAAATGTAAACATACTATTAGTTCAAATATAAATATCTTACCAGAAATCTATATCCGTTTCGGAAGTTATCACGTTTGAAGAGGGGCAAACAATTTGGTTATGTATCGTAGGAACATTCCTGCTCATGTAAACTTGAAATTTACCAATTCTGGCTAAAGAAGACTGCAAAAAAATATATAGCATTATATTTTTAAAGTGATGAGTAGAGAGTAGAATCATAGTTATCTTGGATTTGAAGCTTGGCGAGGTGATGGTCAATTTCTAATTTTTCTATCTATACTATAATCTACCAGTATATTTTACTAATGTTACTCGAAATATAGAGTTCTATTACTGTAGCGCCCCGAGTAACACATAAATTTCATGGTATCTTTATACATAAAAGTAACGAAGAAAAGTTAAAAACAGCCCTATAACACGCATATAAGTTTCACTTTATACGTAAGTATAGTTTTTTGAACTCTTGCTTCACTGATGAAAAATAAATGACGATTTTTCGACAAAATTTGGATCTGACTTTCTCGCTTTAATTTTTTAGTTGGCAACAGGGCTTCAGATATTGGTTTTGTTTTTTTAACAATGTATACCACAGTTACTCGTTAACAAAAAAGGCAATCGCTTATGAATAAAACAAATGCGTTTTTTTTATAAATTTTTCTACATGAATACCACTTTTTCCCTCTACTTGACAACAGTAGAAATCGCTTTTATTTTAATTTTTTTATTGTTATTTTTCCAAGCAAAGCTTTGCTTTAGCATCTAGACACATATTTTTGTCTTTCTATTTAAAGTAAAATTATTTGCATTATATTAATTTAATTTATCTGTCTTTGGGTAATTATTTTCTAACATTTACCTCTAAAACTATTCGGATGTATCTAGCCTTCTGTTGTTCAAAATATAAATTTTGATTATATTCGCACTTGTATCTACTGTAATCTATGACGTTATGCCACTTTTGTAGATCTGTGGAAATTTCAATGCTGTAACCGATCCACCAATTTCTGCGGATATATACACATCAGCTAAAAAATTCATTAAGTAAACTTAGGGATAACGGTACCTACCTTATATTCATCGTTATGTGATTGAAGCATTTTACCCCAGCAAGATCTACAGTAATACCGTTTTTATCGTCCTCATTATGATAAGCACCATCTTTGTCGTTTTTAGTTGCTTCAAACAACATTGTGGTATTTAATCCAGAAATTACTTTAACATTATATTTTGCTGTAGTAAGATTTTTACCTTCAACTAAAAAAATATAAAGTCTATAAGTATTTCTGACTTATCTCTTAATTAGTAGAAAACTTACACTGTTCAGAAACGTATCGTTGTGTTTCTTTTGTACCGTTATTTTCAATCGTTGTAAGAACCTTTAGCAGTTTTTCGTTATTTACCACTTTAGACGGCCAAACAACATTTAATATTTCGTTTCGAGTTAAGCAAGGAAACCGAACACATTCAATAACCAAGTTGTCCAAGTCTTCATTAATCTTGCACCAGTCGGACGCTATCTTAAAGACATCGATTTCTTGAACAGGAAACGCATCTCTTTTCAACAAGTTGATTTCTGAAACAAGGCATTATATGTTTATACCTAGTTCTTTTGGAGAAGTTACTTGTGTGAGAATCTTTAAAAAATCGTATTCAAACGTTTGTGAAACATGTTCATCGATAAAAGTGTGACATATTTCTCTTAACTCGTCCATGTCATGTGCATTGGCTATGTTTAGAAAGAAACAAACATTTGATAAATCGAAAATGGAGACCATTTTTTCGTTTATAGTTTGTACCAGTGTTTTTAACGAATATTCGTGTGCTAGCTTCAATATATCGTATACGTTTTCATCTAGTGATGCGATGACAACGGTTCCTACCACAAATTCAACACGACAATGTATTCAAAATATTTAGTCAAAAGTTTGGCTAACTACCTGTATAAATGTAGTACAGTATTGTTTCAAAAGCTTTTGAAGGCACATTGATTAATTCAATTTGGGTCTGAAAACAGTTTATGGATGTTAATTTTTTCATATAATTTGCCTTACTTGTTTTGGGTCTTGCAGTAAAAGAGACTCAAAATATTTGCAACGAGCAGCGAGAACAATCTGAAAATTAAAATTTTATTCGGAACTTAATCTTTTTGTAAACGAGTGAATCCCCTACCTTGTGCGCATGGAGTGTTTTATCGGATAAGATTAGTTGAATGTCGGAAAAAGTTTCCTTCAAGTAATAAGGTGACATATCTTCGTAAATTTTCGAAGAATCAGTAATGAAAAGTTTTTGTTGCGGTTCTTCTTCGTTTGCCATTTCGATTGGTGGAAATCTAAAAATATTAGATAAGGAAATATTTTCACTACTGCTGGAAGAAAGTGGTTAGAACGGTTGTAACGTGATCACTGATTAGAGTGAAATATTACCTTTATGGCTTTGGAATTACTTACGTTTATCTGTAGATTTTTTAAATTACTGATAAATTGATAAAGACATATTTGAATCAGCTAGAGAAAGTGATCTTTATGTGTCAACTATTGTAAAATTAACCTATTTGAGTACACGCCCTAACTTTAATCCGTAGTAATCTCTGTTTTAATTATTCCATTTTTCGATTTATTTTATAACTTAGAGTAATTGAAGAGGAAAATAAACGAAGCCATTTTTTTTCACAATTCTGCTTTGTGAGTGTAATAGCCATGATAAGTAAGCTAATAAATAAATGACTTCAAAGTATGTACTTTACCTAATTTTAAGTGAAACGTCGAGGCGATATTTTTTGACAATATGTCTAAAAAAACTCCTCGAAGCACCCTGGTATACTAATAATTTAAAAACAACTTTAGATATCAACGCAGGTTTCCAAGACCTTTCAAAAATATTGTTTTAATAGTCTTTTACATCTTTTTACAACAAAATGCTAGCAATTCTTCGTCTGTAGTTATGGTTTATTGAAAACTGGTGAGTGGAAATGTTTTGTAAGCAGTTGTAAAAACTAAAAATGTATTACTAAAATAAAAGTAAATTTCAATTTCAACACGGTTTTTTCTTACCTACCATTTAATTAATGTTGACGTTATAAATTTTTAGGAAGGGAGGAATATATTATTTTATGGATATATGTAACATGCCTATAAACGCTGAAACAATGTTACTTATCAAAATTTTTAACCAGGTTGTGAAAATGTATTTTTTTTTTCATAATAAACCATATTCTTTAAAACATGAAAACATTAACAAAATTTCGCAATGATGTCATCAACTTTCAGTTAATTGTAAACGACTAATATTTGTGTTTTTGGTTAAGATGACAACATATTTGAAATTTTATGATACCACATTACATGTACACAAATTTGGAAAACCAATTCCGTGGCTACCATTTTCTTATTGGTTTTTTAAGCGCGCTCAAAATTGACAACTGTGTAACTGTGTCTGACATACTAACAGAACTGCCAACACAAAAATTTGCTTCTATCATCATAAATAGTCATTTGATCATTTTCAATTGTGATACACACAGCGTAACACTAATATAGTGGATTCATGTCATATTTTTACACACGTGACCAAAAGCTAACGTCCGAACTAATAACTGTAACTTTGTAGTAATTAGTCAAAAGATGACATAACGTCAACATAACACAAATGTCTTGTTTTCTCTTCACCTCTGCGTTTAAGGTCTTCAGAGTAATATGTGTTTCTTAAAGTATTTCATAGTTATTACAAAACTGTATCTATGGGATTTCTTAAACCTACTGTTTTTACACATGTCATAAATTGTCCTGCGGATTTTCATTTTTATAGGCTCAGTAGGTTCTTTGTTTTCAGTGTTTTCCGTTTGGGCCTTGATTTTGTTGGACTGGGAAGTCCAGTCTTTCTTTTCGGGATTTAATCTTCGAAACCGTTTGGCGAGTTACGCAACTCACTTAAAATTTGAGCGAAACTATTAACTATGAACCTTCAAGTGGTTTTTCCTCACTTGTTCTATACCATTTAAAGAGATTAAAGGACCACCGTTTTCCTTCTCAAGAGCAAAATACTCTAAGATTGGACACCATGTCCTGGGCACGAGAACTCAAAGGTTTGCCCGGCATGTTGTAGACCAAACACGAACAAGAAATAAGATATCAAAACAGAAAATAGGCCAAAGAAACAAGAATACTTACAACCAACGAATTATTCGAAGAACTGAATAAAAAATTTGAACAGAACAACGAAAAACTGCGATTAACCACTCTGAGTATAACCAAAAATGACAGTGAAGTTTGATGAAAAATCGACGAATTATTAACAGTCACTAGATTGGCTACATCAGTGCCTGTCGCACTATGTGGACGCATTTATTATGTATTTTATCTTTTTCTAATTCAAGGAACCTTGTGGAAGAGAATAACTGACGCAGACCTTAATTTGGACTCATTTCGGTAGACATATTATTTGTCTGGCTCTTCGTTTTTATAATCCTTAAAACAAAGATTCCTATGGTAGATGCTGTCTGAGCTTGTATGATACTTTGGTCGCGTGTGTAAAAAGATACATGAATCCAACTATAACAGAGTGCATCCCCAATAGTTAGCTTCATGTTTTTTAATTTCTCTCATGAACTTTCGAGTATGAAAAACAAATCTCCTGTTTCCATCTGTCTGTCTATCGTCTATCATCTGTTCCACTTTGATTAGAAGATAATCTCCCAAAGTGCAAGACCGATTCTCAAATTTGGTACATTTCGAGAATGTCGTGTAGGTGGTAAAATGCTAACGAAAATCTCTAATCTTTCCCACCAACAAATCGATAACGTCACCTCAAAATTTTATTGTGGATATATTTATTATTTAAATTTTATAAAATAGCGTACTATTATAATTGTGGTTTATGAATGCACCTTAAATTATTGCCCTAGGCATCCAGATTTTGAAAAAAAAAATCAAACAACAGTTTATTATTGGCCATTTTTCCTTGCACTGGGTACACATAATTTTTTCTAAATAACTGGATTGAAATTTGTTTGAAACCATGAGACCAATTTTTGTATTATTTTGGGTGGTTGGTATTTTTTTTATTATTTACAGACGAACACTTTAAAGGTTTACTTATACTTTTAGAAAATGTAATAGGTTAAAATTTCATATATTCAGAAAAGACAATAGAAGCTTGTATAAAATTATATTATTTTCCAAACTATTTAGTTTTTACTGTATGAACTGGTTCAGAATCACATTAAAACCGCAAACAGATATCAGACTTCAAATGTTTAATAAAATTAACTGTCCTTAATACTGAAATTCAACTAACACCAGTACATTCACAAATGAAATTCTGTATCGTGATATTTCTATTCTAGGTTAGGTACCTACCTGAATTTAAATTATCCCTTAGGATAGTTTTCTTTTATGTTATCCTAGCAATTATACGTCAGCCTATTTCTGTTGTTTCCAAAATAATGCGAGCTTCTTCAGAAAGCAGCTAAATTTAGACATGTTTACAAAACCCTTTCGTCACAACTAGGACCGCTTCCTTTATACATCTCCTCTGTTTTTAGGATTTTACCAAACCTGATACTGTTTTTATTTAGGCATCATCAGCAACTGCCAAAACAGGCTTACATTTTGACTAGGACGGCGGCAATATAGTGTAAATTTTGGAGAATAAAATATAATTTTTTAAAGTTTTGTGGAATATGCTTGAAGCTTAAAATGTTATACTTAAGCATCATCGTTGAAGTTGAAGATACCATGTTTTATGGCTTCAGTACGTGTAGAATAAAACAAAACTCTCTATCTCTAATAAAGTCGTAGAATTTTGGAAATCCATCAAGTTTAATGGCACCTTCAGTATACATATTACCATAAATAAGTTTATGCAAAATAATATTGCGTAATTGTAGCTAAATTACGATCTGTAGACCGATTAGTTACCAAGGCAACTTCATTGGGAGACATATTTATGTACATAATTTTTCTTAACTGACGAAAATTTTGAGAAAATTTGGTTATATAGAAATTTAGCCATAGATTTTTACATATCTGACCTACCTGTCACTTGCGACGAAATTCCGGAGAGGGACGGATGGTCCGGTGACGGTCTGGAATCTCGCCGATAACGTATGGGGTGGCGGCGTACTTGGGTGCCAAGGTTTGGGTCGACTAGTATCGCTGATATGAGTAAAACGTCTGGTCGACCAAGCTTATGCGGCTAAGTTCACGCCGCCGGGGGTGGCGCCTTCGGTCAGGAGCGGCGGTCGCTCGGGCGCCAGCTCCCTCTCCGGGGGAGGGAGCGCCGGGGTGCTCTAAAGCCGGAGACACGGAATTCAGCTGATGAGCCGCCGCGAAAACTCGAGAATAAGAAATAAAACGGCAAGGAAATTTTAACAATAAATAGGGTTTATTCCATGCCACCAGCTACACGGTCTAAAATAATAAAACTTACGGCTAAATAACATAAATAACTACAAAACGGTTTTACAAACAAGATTAATTAAATGCCCGGCACGGTCGTTCCTCCTGGGCGGCGACTTCCCTCAGGACGGGCTCCTCTTGGCTCTGGGGGCGGCGAACTTGAGATCTGGAAATTTCCCCCCGGCTCTCGCGGTATGCGTCACGGTTTCCGGCCCGCGAAAATTCGCTTCGTTACACACTTTTTCGTAAAAATCGACAGATCCTAGCACGTTTCCACTTTAATGGAAATCTTGTTATCAATAAAATTTGAGTGCCTAATAAATTTTCGTAATTAATTTATTAAGCTGGATTTGTTTAATACAGAAGTGAAGGAAACTCCGTCTAAACATGACTAGACCAATTTTTAACACACTATCTTACAATAAAACTATTATTTCAGGTATTCAGTTTTTATTTCGACAAGACGACAAATGCAGACTCACACTTGCGCGACGATGGTGGTTTATTTTCAATTTTTTCTAGGTGTAGTTTAAGACAAAAGTGATAGAATGATAAAAAAATGTAATGCAGAAATTTACAGATTTGATTGTTTTTAAAACTTAACTTAACTCACAGTTTTGAACTTGGAAGTTCTTAGTTAGAAACATTCAATATTCTCCAAAAAGCCGTTAACTGTCTATTGAGTAAACAATCACTAGAACTGTTAATAAAATGATGGAACTTACCACATTACGAGAAAGTTGACCAATAATTCTAATACAATTGACTATTCTTTTGTTAAAACGGAGCAGTAAGTTTTTGTCTTTTGGAAGTTCAAGTTTTTCCCAGGGCGAGTTGTCTGTGGAAGTTTCTATACTAGATATGGATGTGTGAAATTGCAACGTAACTTTTATCCGTGAAATCATGTATGGTTGATCTAAAACGAAAATGTTATTTTATTTTACAAATAATAGCAAACTTACTTAAGTACAGATGCGTAGTGAATGAACCAGGAGACGTCTCCCTATGTTGATAAATAAGAAAAGTTTGAACACAGATTCTGTCTACAGCACTGGGATAATCTTAATTTATCCCACTGAAATGAGTGAGTTTGATTGTTGTGCAACTATTATTCCAAACACTAATGACAATATATTTTATTTATTTAAATCGATGTTAATAAATCTGGACATTCGACATTCCAGATAAAGTTCTGTACCTAGGTACGTTTCACGTGGGCGAACTATTTGTTACCGGACTCGTGTGATCACAAAACTCAGTTTACCTACATCACACTGTAAGTAAACCTTACATTTACTTTTACCATGTAACTACTTTTGTTCGTTCTGATAAAAAGTGACGAAAGAAACCGTGAAACCTAATTCACTAATCCACATACATAGTTTTTCCAATAATAATTGAAAAAAATTGGTCGAAGGTTATTTCGACACAACTTCCCTTGTCCTTGAAGTATAGTCCAACAATTTCCGATTCTTTGAAAAATTATAGCATTTGATTTTCCGACTTTTGTTTTGTAATCAGCTCTGTTAAGTAAAAACTAGTGCTAGGGCGCTAATTTCAAGGAGGTGCAGCCCGCACAAATGCAAATAATATAAATTTGATTGATTTTGTTTTCTCAAAACAGAGAAAAGGACAATTTAATTATGTATTCTGTATTCTTACATTTTCGAAACAATGCACAGTGGGCCAAAATAAAAAAAAAAACTGACAAAAAATCCATGTACCTATGTTTTAATATTTACAAAATTTGATGCAAACACATTTTAAAAATCACTGATCACGAATTAATAGGCGGACTTAAATTAATAAAAATGGCGGATACAATATGGAACACTTTTCATTAAAAAGTGTTTAAAAACTAAATGAGCGCTATTTTCTTATTCGGCACTAAGCACAAATTTTAAGCTGAATGTACTCTAAATAGAGTCGAGGATCCAAATGGCTTAATTAATTAACCATATAAGGGTGTATTCAGCTTCCAAAATCGGTTATGAACGAAAGATTATATGTATTTGCATTAGCAGAATAATGAGAATTGTGCGACTGCTAAAAAGTGTTTCGTAAATTTAAAGACATAGGTATTTAATTTTAAATTAATATTTTTATGTTGCGACAGAATTTAGAACAAAATTTAAACTATAAAATTACGTAACAGAAATTAATTTAAATCTTCTACGATTGCTGGAACTTCTCAAAAGTTTGAAGAGAAAAACGAAAAATTGAATATTTTCCTTCTCCAACGACTACAACACAATATTTTGAACTTAAATAAATCTTAAACATTCCCTCCAGCAAAAAATTATTATTTTAATAAAAACTTTATTAAAACTACGTTTTCTTATCTATATTTAAGAATTTTACAAATTTTGTAAGTTATTTATTATTCAAACTGAATGTTGATAATTAGATTGATAATATAGCCAAAGCTATATAACAGCAAATGATGTAAATTATAAAAGAGAATATCTTTATTGTGCACAAAAAATTGTCAGTCCATTAAAAAATTAAACAGCTATGTAAAGAATTCCTGACACGGGTTGTAGTTTTGTTTCGGACTGAAGTAGTCACAAACTATTAAAATATACTTTCAACACGACTACGATTATCTGCAAATGTCTAATTTGCCACAACTCAAGGAAACGTAATATTATACTCTGTCAAGAGGATAAATCACACTATTACGTGCACTCGTACTTGTTCCAAATATTAATTTACTTAATCGAAATATGAATTTAAAAAAAAAATTAAGAGCTGCAGTTTTGAACTTTTAGTCATGGTTTCACTAGTTTGACTCACTGTGCAAAGAAGTGAACTGTTCGAAATTTTTGCAAAAAAAAGCTGGACTGAGAACTGAATCCTGGACCTCTCATCTGCAAGGCTAGCGCATTACCACCCCGTCGACGGAAATTTCGTATATTTGTCTAAAGAAATAGACGGATTAAACAATAAACAAATATAATAACAATAATAACAAATAAAGCCAAGATAGATTTGTAAACCACAAGTACAAGAGTACATTAAAGTATTTCATAAAATTTAGGCAATGTTAATTATGGAATATAAAAAGCGGGCGTCATCAAATTGTTGGTGGAGATGATTAGCCAATTACCGTTTTACCATCTAGATGATGTTCTTAACATATATCCAACATTTGACAACAATCAATATAGTAGATTTAGAGATTATCTGTCTTATGAAAATCGACATAGGCGACAAACGACAGACAAACGACAGACAGACGGAAACGGGAGATAACTTTTTTCGTATTCGAGGGATTATGAAACGTCGAGAAAACATGACAGCGGCGAGTCGCCTGCTGAAATCGATTACAATACGTCCTTAACTTACGCTTGGGGAAAAATGAAAATGTAAACATACTATTAGTTCAAATACAAAAATCTTACCTGCATGTTATAACTGTTTCGGAAGTTATCACGTTTGAAGAAGGGCAAACAACTTGGTTATGTATCGTAGGAACATTCCTGCTCATGTAAACTTGAAATTTACAAATTCTGGCTGAAGAAGACTGCAAAAAAATGTATAGCATTATATTTTTAAAGTATTGAGTAGAGAGTAGAATCATAGTTATGTTGGATTTAAAGCTTGGCGAGGTGTTAATGGTCAATTTCTAATTTTGCTATCTATACTATAATCTACCAGTATATTTTACTAATGTTACTCGAAATATGGAGTTCTATTATTGTAGCGTCTCGAGTAACACATAAATTTCATAGTGTCTCTACACATAAAAGTAACGAAGAAAAGTTAAAAACAGCTCCCTAACACGCATACAAGTTTCATTTTTTACGTAAGTACAGTTTTGTGAACTCTTGCTTTACTTATGAAAAATAAATGACTATTTTTCGACAAAATTTGGATCTGACTTACCCGTTTTCATTTTTTAGTTGGCAACAGGGGTTGGGATATTGGTTTTGTTTTTTTAACAATATATACCAGTTACTCGTTAACAAAAAAAGGCAATCGCTTATGAATAAAACAAATGCGTTTTCTTTATAAATTTTTCTACATGAATACCATTTTTTTCCTCTTCTTGACAACAGTAGAAATCACTTTTTTCTTACTTTTTATTTTTATTTTCTCAAGCAAAGCTTTGCCTTAGCATTTAGGCACATATTTCTGTCTTTCTATTTAAAGTAAAAATATTTGCACTTACTTGAATTTAAATTATCTGTTTTTGGTTAATTATTTATTTAACATTTACCTCAAAAATTATTCGAATGTATCTAGCCTTCTGTTGTTCAAAATATAAATTTTGATTATATATGCATTCGTATATACTGTAATCTATAACGTTATGCCACTTTTGTAGATCTGTGGAAATTTCAATCCTGTAACCGACCCACGATTCTCTGCAGATATTTACACATCAGCTAAAAAATTCACTAAGTAAACTTAGGGATAACGTTACCTACCTTATATTCATCGTTATGTGATTGAAGCATTTTACCCCAGCAAGATCTACAGTAATACCGTCTTTATCGTCCTCATTATGATAAGCACCATCTTCCTCGTTTTCAGTCTCTTCAAACAACATTGTGGTATTTAATCCAGAAATTACTTTAACATTATATTCTCCAGTTGCAAGATTTTTTATTACAACTAAAAAAATATACAAGTCTACATTTCTGACTTGTCTCTTAATCAATCCTCGCACTTACACTTTTCAAAAACGTGTCGTTGTGTCTCTTTTGTACCGTTATTTTCAATCGTTGCAAGAACCTTTAGCAGTTTTTCGTTATCTACCACTTTAGACGGCCAAACAACATTCAAGATTTCGTTTCGGGTTAAGCAAGGAAACCGAATACATTCAATAACCAAGCTGTCCAAATCTTCATTAATCTTGCACCAGTTGGCCGCTATCTTAAAAATATCGATTTCTTGAACAGGAAACGCATCTCTTTTCAACAAGTTGACCATAGATTTCTGAAACGAGGAATTGTATGTTTAAGTGTTTCTAGCTATTTTATCCATGTTACTTGTGTGAGAACGTTTAGAAAATCGTGTTCAAACGTTTGTGAAACATGTTCATCGACAAAAGTGTGACATATTTCTTTTAACTTGTCAATGTCGTGTGCATTGGCAACGTTTAAAAGGAAACAAACATTGGATAAATCGACAATGGAAACCATTTTTTCGTTTATAGTCTGTACCAGTGTTTTTAACGAATATTCGTGTGCTAGCTTCAATATATCGGACACATAATTTTCATCTAGTGATGCAATGACAACGGTTCCTGCCACAAATTCAACACGACAATGTATTCAAAATATTTAGTCAAAAGTTTGGGTAACTACCTGTATATATATAATACAGTATTGTTTCAAGAGCCTTTGAAGGCACATTGATTAATTCAATCTGGGTCTGAAAACAGTTTATGGATGTTAATTTTTCATAAAATTTACCTTACTTGTTTTGGGTCTTGCAGTAAAAGAGACTCAAAATATTTGCAACGAGCAGCGAGAACAATCTGAAAATTAAAATTTTATTCGCAAGTTAATTTTTGTTCAAACGAGTGAAAAACCTACCTTGTGCGCATGGATTGTTTTATCGGATAAGATTAGCTGAATATCGGAAAAAGTTTCCTTCAAGTAGTAAGATGACATATCGTCGTAAATTTTCGAAGAATCTGTAATGATTAGTTTTTGTTGTGGTTCTTCTTCGTTTGCCATTTTGGTTGATAGAAATCTAAAAATAATAAATAAGGAAATATTTTCGCAACGGCTGGAAGAAAGTGCTTTGAGCGATTCTAACGTGATTACTAATTAAACTGAAATGTTACCGTTATGCCTTTGGAATTACTTACGCTTATCTATAGATTTCTTAAATTACTGATAAATTGATAAAGACATATTTGAATCAGCTAGAACAAGTGATCTTTATTTGTCAACTGTTGTAATTAAGTACACGCCCTAATTTTAATCCGTCGTACTCTGTGTTTTCATTATTCCATTTTTGATTTATTTTAATAATTAATACTTATGAGTAATTGAAGAGGAAAATAAGCGACGCCATTCTTTTTCACAATTCTGGCGTGTGAGTGTAATAGCCATGATAAGTAAGATAATAAATAACTTCAAAATATGTACCTACTTTACCTAATTGTTTAAGTGAAACGTCCACACGATATTTTTTGACAATATGTTTAAAAAACCTCCTCGAAGCACCCTGATCGACTGATATGTTGAAAACCATTTTAGATATCAACGCAGGTTTCCAACACCTTTCAAAAATATTGTTTCAATAGTGTTTTACATCATTCCTTAACAAAATGTTAACAATTATTCGTCTGTAGTTATGGTTTATTGAAAATCGGTGACTGGAAATGATTTGTAAGCAGTTGTAAAAACTAAAAATTTATTACTAAAATAAAAGTAAGTTTCAATTTCAACACAACTTTTTACTTTAAGTACCTACCATTTAATTAAGGTTCACGTTTTAAATTTTTTGGAAGGAATGATTATATTATTTTATGGATATTATGTAACATGCTTATAAACGCTAAAACAATGTTACTTATAAAAATTTTTAACCAGATTGTGAAAATGTATATTTTTTTATAATAAACCATATTCTTTAAAATATGAAAACATTAACAAAATTTCGCAATGATGTCATCAACTTTTAGTTAATTGCCCAAGCAGCAGACTGTCGTCTAATTCACGTTAATTTTTGGTCATAACTCGTCGGCGACGTCATTCGCCCAAAAAACCACGTGATAATGACGAGATTTTTATGACTTACTTCTGACGTCAATTAATGACGTCAAAAGGCCGTCCTTTCTTGGTCATTTTTTATAGATTATATGATCAATTACATGTAGGTCGTCGTATTCTTTAAAAACTGGCCTTCATAATGCTTAATTATATTTAGAGCAAAAAATACAACGGCTTTATCAGAAATACACCAAAGACAAGTTTTCTCATTCCAATAATTTCTAATAAAATAATTATTTCTGAAAATTTGGTTACTCTGGAAGTGTTATTATTTTGTAAGTACCTGCTTGGCAAATTATAAATAGAACATCTGAGGTTGAGCGTATAAAATAATGAAAAGACCCTACGACACAAACAAGGTCATAAAAATTCTTTGTCCATTGTCCCTAAAACGGTACGAGGTTTTGAAGAATTCCTTCGTCGAATTTTGATTTTATAAAGACGTTTATGAAGTGATGATGAAAAAATTAGAGAGTGATTAATATTTAGTTTTATTAAATTTATTTCATCTAATGAAAAAATAATGCTCAACTTCCGTATTTACCATACAATACATCAGATGTTTGTGGCGTGCATTCGGACTTTCCCTTTTTTCGGTATTTATGTTTATTGCACTTCACAGTGAAGCATTCCAATATTTTCAGTTGGTTCTCAACCACCGAAACTTTCTCGTGTATCCGTTACTCACTCCATTTTTAACGCAGTTTTGTGAAAATTATTGCCATTCAGTGTGGGTTGTACTTATTTACACTAGGTAAGTTAATATCTAATAAAGTAATCATTTTAATTTTTACGTATTTCTGTTATTTTTGATAACTGTACGTAGATAACAAAAGCAGTTTTTTCAGATAAGCTGGAAAGACCACCATTAATCACTGAAGATACTCCCACTGATTATGAAGAACTTACGGTGATTGTTTTTGAAAATGAGGCGCCATAAAATATTGAAAAGCTATGTTATTGCAATTTTTTATGAACTAATGCTAATTAACATAATTTTATTCTAGATTTGAAGCAAATACAAAACACATGTGCGAAACGAAAGAAACGGTAAAGGAACCGAGTGAAAAAATCTCCAACATGGAAACGTCATCAAATCTGACAACTGAAAAAGAAAAGAAAAATAGAAGTTATGCCGCCAAGACCACACCTAAACAAATTTTGACGAATTACAAGATTATCTTTGCCTATTAGAATAAGCAGATTTCTTTGTAAGTTAAAAAAATACAATGAATTCATATAGGTATATACATATATAACATAATATTGGATATTATATACACGTAGATGCCTGTAATACTACGATACTTTTTGGTAACTTACTATACATGGCATATTTCGCTTCATTGTAAAAAGTATTGACAACGAGATTTTCCTGATAGGCTATACGTTTTTGTCAATGCAACCATTTTACGATTATCCGTTAGATTCAAGTAAATTTACCATTTTTAAAATGCAGAATTTGTCTTCTGCTTTAAGCTGTAATTTCTTAAATTTAATAATAGCCAAATACTTGCTTTTGCCCATAGACGAAAAAATTATTTCATTTCCATTAATCCATGCACTCTAACGGGTTTTTCTTTTCAGTGTAATAAATTGAGGCAAACTTAAAAAACTTAGGTTATCAATATGGTTGTTAAAACAGAATTAATTCTTAACGGTACTTTTTTGTGTGTTGGGGACAGTCAACTCGTCGTGAATTAGATAGTTTTTCAGTGCATTTTCAAATCAAGTAACTTCAACAATGCGATTCAATTGTCTTTTCCCTTTATTCTAGATTTTTTTAAACATTTTTTGTAAATAGATTTGTTTGTGTTTTTAAGACTGATTTATAGTTTATTATAGTTTTCTTTTAATATTCTTTGTAACTAAATAGATTTCTTTGTGTTTTTAAAACTCATTTTTCTTTAAATAGCATATTTTATTGCAACGTTTATTTTTGATTATATATTGTATATTATCCTTTTTTTTTTGTTTATACTAATTATACTCGTAATTACCTGTATGTAGATTTGTTTGTGTTCTTAGGAGTGGTTTATATTTAATTTGTTTAATTGACTTATATTTTTTTATTTGTTAATTGAAGTTCATTGTTGGTTGTACAGAATTGTAGTAAATTTAATTTTTGTACACTAATTTGTTTTAACTTTAATTAATATATATTTTGTTTTGGGGTTTACCTGGTGATTATAACGAATTATAATATTTTATATAAGGTAAACAATATACAAATATAACATTATTTCAGCGTTTTATTTATTGCAATTTTTTTTTCTAAAAATCAAAATATAAAAAAACGTCTTAAAATGGACAATAAATGCCGTCTCTAAGACGTCAGTACATCACGTCAATAGTTCGTTACAAAATGACGACTCTAAGACGTCAGTACATCACGTCAATAGTTCGTTAGAAAATGACGTCATCTGGACGAGACATTTGACCGTCATTGGTACGTCAATATCACGTGAAATCTTTGGTCATTATGACGTAATTGATGACCAGTTATTCACGTGAAAAAGACGACATCATGTTGCCTGGGTATAAACGACTAATATTTGTGTTTTTGGTTAAGATGACAACATATTTGAAATTTTATGATACCACATTACATGTACACAAATTTGGAAAACCAATTCCGTGACTACCATTTTCTTATTGGTTTTTTAAGGGCACTCATGTCAAAATTGACAACTGTGTCCGACATACTAACATTGCTGCCAATAATTGAGAACTGCCAACACAAAAATTTGCTTCTATCATCATTAATATAGTCATTTGATCATTTTCAATTGTGATACACACAGCGTAATACTAATATAGTGGATTCATGTATCTTTTTATCACGTGACCAAAAGCTAACGTCCGAACTAAAAACTGTAACTTTGTAGTAATTAGTCAAAAAGATGACAATGGTCATAACGTCAACATAACACAAATGTCTTGTTTTCTCTTCAACTCTGCGTTTAAGGTCTTCAGAGTAATATGTTACAGTTTTGTAATAACTATGAAATACTTTAAGGGCCGGTTGCATAAACGCAAATCAAATTTAATCTCTGATTAAGAACAATTGTAACTATGATAATAACAATCGTTACTATGGAGTTAATCAGAGATTAAATTTGATTTGCGTTTATGCAACCGGCCCTTAAAGTATTTCATAGTTATTACAAAACTGTATTTTTTCGAGATTTAATCTTCGAAACCGTTTGGCGAGTTACGCAACTCGCTAAAAATTTGGAACTATTAACCATGAACCTTCAAGTGGTTTTTCCTCACTTGTTCTAGAGTATTTAAGGAGATTAAAGGACCACCGTTTTCTTTCTCAAGAGCAAAATACTCTATATGGTTGGACACCATGTCCTGGGCACGAGAAAGGTTTGCCCGGCATGTTGTAGACTAAACACGAACAGGAAATAAGATAACAAAACAGAAAATAGGTCAAAGAAACAAGAATACTAACAAGCAACGAACTTTACGAAGAACTGAATAGAAAACTTGAATAGAACAAAAAAAAAACTGCGATTAACCACTCTGAGTAAAACCAAAAATGACAGTGACGTTTGATGAAAAATCGATGAATTATTAACAGTCACTAGATTGACTACATCAGTGCCTGTCGCACTATGTGGACGCACTTATTATGTATTTTGAGTTTTTCTAAATCAAGGAACTTTGTGGAAGAGAATAACTGGCGTAGACCATACTTTGGACTCATTTCGGTAGAATATTATTTGTCTGCCTCTTCGTTTTTATAATCTTTAAAACAAAGATTGCTATGATAGATGCTGTCTGAGCTTGTATGATACTTTGGTCGCGTGTGTAAAAAGATATATGAATCCAACTATAACAGAGTGCATCCCCAATAGTTACTTTCATATTTTTTAGTTTCATGAATTCTCGAGCATGAAAAACAAATCTCCAGTTTCTGTCTATCTGTCTATCGTGTATCATCAGTTCCACTTTTATTACAAGATAATCTCCCTGAAAGTACAAGAACGATATATTGTTGTCAAATTTGGTACATTTCAAGAATATCGTGTAGGTGGTAAAATGATAATGAA